GGCGGGACAACTGGATAAGGCGACGGCTTAGCGTGGGAATGAGGGACGGCATGCAGGTCGTACCCCACCATCGAAAAACACAGCTCGCCCCGCCCAGTGCTATGCGCGACGACTCACGGGTACGTATCTGCTGCTCAGTGCCAGTTGACCGAAGGTACCTTACCTTAGAGGTAGGTACAGTGGAGATGCTCAATTCTTCGTCCCCAGGTCGCGTAGAAAACTGCCTTAGCAAGCTTAGGTAAGGCAGACTTCCTATTGCATGCCCTGTGATTTACTTAGACGAGTCTGAGATTTATTTCCATGCCATAATTGACCAGCCTTTCAAATTGCTGAACCATCATTACTTGTTCCGAGATGTGACGGAACTGGAGCATCAGGATCAGAAGCAGAAGCTCAGGTACCTGGAAGCATCGCAGCTGTCGGTGTGAGTCTTTCGGTACAAGTACCTAGGCACCTACCTTGGTGTCCTTGGTATGTACGGATAAGCGGCGCACTGGTTGGTGAGTCTTCAAGTCTGCAGTGAGTGAGGTGCAGGCTGCAGCTGGCTCGCTTCTGACGGGAGATGAGGTAAGCATCAAGAGCACCTCCCACCCTCTTTTCCCGACCGTTAGTGCAGTGTCACTGTAAAATGTAAGGTAGGTACTTACAGGTTCGGAAGGCGGCCCTCGGCTTGCATTCCACCGTTGTTCCATTTACACGGGACTGCAAACTGCGTCATGCGGTCCCTGAAAGCTGGAGCTCCCCATGTCCAAGTGCAGCTGACTGGGGCCGTCTGCGCCCTTCATTCATCCACCTCCATAATACCTTAGTCCTTACGGAGTACGGAGTACGGATACAAAGATACGAATACTCTGTTCACTACGGATCCTGTGCCTGGGGAAGCACCTGCAGATGGATACCTTACCTACGGGTAGGCGGCCTCGTGTTCCTTTACCGCGTATTTCCCTTTGATCCAGAACTGTCCACTCTCATGTAAGCCTCCATTACCGACTGGACACCTTACCTCACAGATACCTGCCTACCTTAGAAAAGGTACTTACCATAAGAGCAAATACCGCCAAAAGTCCAAGTACACGTTGTCCCTTTTGATAGTACCTTAGTGCCAAGCAGCCAGACCCCCGCGACTTGTTGGATACTCATTCTTCCTGAGCTCTTCTTCCTCCTTCGCCCAGCTTTACCTAAATACATACAAGATTCCATCAACCCCCCAACCTTGCTCTCTCTCTCTCTCTTGACTTTCGTTCGATCTCTCTCACCTCATTGTCGCCGCCTTAACCCTGCACCACTGCTCCAGTCTGAAACCAGCATTCCTGGTTCCCGCCCAACCAGCTCCAAGCTCCCCCCGAAACTGCCCTCCAAACCGGTCACTGCTCTCCCCGACAGTCGGTCACGTCCTCCCCACCAAGAGGACTCCGGTGACGCACTCGCACTGATAAGTGCCCGTCTGCTGCTGACTCTGTCACGTTGGCGCCCGCGATTCTTCGCTCCAGACAGGCTTGGGGACGACACTGCAGACCGCCGAACCTCTTCGGCACCTATATCAACAGCTACATCGCCGCAACCTCTCGCCGCTCCTGGGCATCCCGTCACACCTCCGCCGAATGGCACTCGGCCCATTCGCAGATCATGGCTCCCGGCGGCGCTGACCGCAAACCAGAAAAGTCCTACCTCTCGTCCGCTGTCGACTCCATCAACCCTTGGGCCGGCAGCCGGAGTTCAACACCGACCCCCAAGGATCCTCCTCCACAGCCCGTGCCCGTTCCGACCTCCCGTCCTGGCGATCACAGCATCACCCACTTATACGGCCAGAGCATCAAGACCTACCCCTCCGACTGCCCTCCACTGAACGTCCTTTGGTACCACGCAACTGATGTGAGACTGCCCATCGTCAGCACAAAACTTGCCCACTTTCAGACTAACTCGATGCTGCCCAGGTTCCCAAGCGCAAACCCCAATTCCTCCGAGATAAAGCGAAGCCTGCCGAAGATGCCAAGCCCCCGATCCAGCCCAAAAAGTTTCTGCCTTTTTCTAAGCTAGATTCTCGTGCAATCGAGACGGCGTACCAGCGTTTGTTGGAGGATTCAGAGAAGCGAAGAGAAGAACGATCTTTGCGCAACGTTTCGTCCGGCTCCAAACGTGGTCGCCAGAATACCAACGATGAGGGCGCGCACAGCAGCGTGGAAACCAGCCCCGAGGGTACCCAGACCCCCAAAACGCGCGTCCCTGTGAACGAGGACTACCTCTTTGATGTCGATATTGAAAACCGGGAGCTGGGTCCGGTCTACTGGCTGGGTCCTGTGTATGAAGTGCGTCGCGGCACCTGGTTCTACGACGAGGGTTCGTCTTTGCGGCCATGTGAGGAGAACCTCGCTTCACAGCTGGAGGAGGGGTATCTCAAGGTCAAGCCATGGACATACCCCAAGCCGCGAGTTCGCAACGACCCGAAGAACAAGGACCCTAAGGCCAAGGATGTGACGCCCAAAGCGTCCGTCGAGAATCTCAAGGCCGCAGCAGCTACAACTCCTACGACCGACGGGAGTCTAAAGTCGCCGGGGCCGCAGAACCAACACCAGCCCTCTTCGCATCGCTTGTTTGGCGCCTGGATGAACAACATCGCGACATATCAAGATGCAGGTACGGCATGGCTCACCTCAGACAGCATGCTCTCGTGGGTGACGTCAACCATGTATGAGAGATTCTCGGGCGGTGGTTACATGAGCGGTGTCAAGCTGGTCAGAGGCTACTCTGACGTGGCAAAGAACAAGAAACAACAAAAACAGCCGGCGACGCCCACCGATCCTACAGCAACCCCGCAGCTTGATGAGAAGCAGCAGAAACTGCTCAAGAGGAGGTCTGCGCCACCATCTTCCAGGCCGTCGCAGTCAACCGACGAGATTTCCCTGCTGGAGGAGGAAGATGACAGGGAAAATTCCCTCCAACGGCAGATCTCTTCGCTGATGGAAGGGGCTGAGCGCAACCAGGAGGAGCAGGAAGAGGAGATTCGGAAAAGAGAGGAAAAGGAAATCGAAAACGACTACAACGGCCAGCTTGGCGAAACCCAAGGGCGAGAAATTGAACATTTGGTACTAGTCACTCACGGTATCGGTCAGCTCCTCGGCATACGGTAAGTCCAAAGATTGGGCATATTGACTCCGTGAGATACTAACTTTCATAGCATGGAGAGCGTGAATTTCGTCCACGATGTCAACATCTTGCGCAAGAACATCAAATCGGTGTATTCCAGCTCTGCTGACTTGAGGGCACTCAACTCGGAGCTGGAAGATGGCCCTCGAAACTGCCGTGTGCAGGTCTTACCTGTGTGCTGGAGACACCTGCTCGATTTCCCCAAGAGACGGGAAAAGAAAAAGGAACAAGACATTGGTGACGGTGCCCAAGACGAGGACGAATGTAAGTGACTGGCCTGAAGTTTGGGGGACACGACTAATCATTCGGAAGACCCCTCCCTAGAGGACATCACCATCGAAGGCGTTGCGTTTGCCAGGTCTTTGATTTCCGACCTTGCGCTAGATGTTCTCCTGTATCAGAGTGCATACCGAGAACAGATCTCGGAGATTGTGCTGAAGGAGTCGAACCGTATCTTCAAGTTGTTCATGGAACGGAACCCAGAGTTCAAGGGCAAGGTCCATGTTGTTGGCCATTCCCTCGGCTCAGCCATCATGTTTGATATCTTGTGCCGGCAAAAGGAGAAGCAAAAGACGTTGGAAACCCCTCGGAATCCCCTCCGATTCTGGCCGGCACAAGAAAAGATGGAGGCCCATCGGGATCGAGAAGCCAATGAGCTGCGATTTGAGTTTGACGTGGAAGATTTCTATTGCCTTGGGTCTCCGGTGGGGTTGTTCCAGATGCTCAAGGGACGGTATGTTGCTGCTTTTTCCTTTTTGAGCTTGGGTTGACTAACACTACTAGGACAATCGCGGCTCGCCACTTACCCAACTCCCGACCATCAGAAAGCCCCTTGAACCCGGATTTGATGGACGACCCATTCCTCGCGGCGAATCCGGCATCTCCTACGCACCGTGTTTCCGCAATCACCGGCCTCCCCTATTCTGTCTCGTCTCCAAAGGTTTCGCAGCTGTTCAACGTCTTTCATCCGTCAGATCCAATCAGCTACCGTCTCGAGCCCCTGATTTCGCCTGCAATGTCCTCCCTGAAGCCCCAAGTTTTGCCGTACACCAAGAAGGGCATCTTTGGCAACGTGGCGCAACAGGGCCTCTCGGGCATCGGTATGAAGGTTGGTCAGAGTGTCAGCGGGCTATGGTCCAGCTTGAGTGCAGGCATAGCAAGCAACATTCTGAATCGCAGCCTCGGTCTCAGCAACGAGGATGTGGCCAAGATGAACTCGGCCAACTCACCACAGCAGGTTTCAGGAGCGGGCACGAACATTGCAGACAGCGGTGTAATTTCGGATGCGTCCAAGCTCGGGCAAAAGACGAATGAACGAAAGAAGCAGCTGGCGGACTCCAAGTCGATGATTGGTCGCACCAGCATCAGCGGAAATGAGATGACGCTGATTGACGACGAACTTGAGACGTTATATTCCAAGTTCCAGGAGAAGCGGGTAGCGCTGGCCAAGACGGACGATGACGGCGGTGCCGCGGACTGGCTCGAGGCAGAGCGTAAGGCGCAGAAGCTGCGGCGGGAGGAGATGAAGGTCCGAGCCCTGAATCGTAACGGGCGTGTCGATTACAGTATTCAAGAGTGAGTGACTGATTTGAGTCTTGCTTGAGTCTATATGTATAACTAACATGCGATAGGAGCGTCCTCGACTTCAACCCCATGAACACGATTGCGTCGCACATGAGTTACTGGTCTGACGAGGACGTCAGCCACTTTATCCTTTCACAACTTCTCTCTAATAGAAGCCGAGCAGAACGAAAGTAGACGTGCCATAACTTAGACTAGACGTTTGGGATGGGCGACCTGATCAATACAATGATATTTCACGTTAAAAAGTAATATGTCTCGCCGTACATATAAGTGTCTCGTTCCATTGTATAATTCTTCCACAATAGGCTGGGTATCTTTTTTACTTTCCATCTCTCAACATTACTTAGGCACGCAGAACACCGGCACCAACCAAGGCACCCCAACGAGCAGGTGATCCCTTGGCCACATCCTCGGCCGTCGTCCCGTTCTCGGCCTTGAGCGCGCGAATGTCCTCGCCCACATCGTTGGTCAACCTCACAAGCTGCAATCCCTCCGCCGCCTGCCGCGCCGCAGCGGGGAACACGTCCGTCGGCAACCGCGACGCGATCCACAGAAGCAACCAGACCACCTCCTCCTGCGCCTTTTCCACCGCGACGTGCAGCGCGCTCTTCCCGCCGGCGAGCGGGTCCTGGTAGCGGATCAGCTGGCCGAGCGCGGCGACGTCGCCTGCGAGTTCCTCGTTTGCGTCCTGGAGGAGGGTGACGATGCCTTGGACGTCGCCTTCGGAGGCCATGAGGTGGTAGGCGCGGGCGGGGCGGGCTTCTGGGTTGGAGGCGAGGTAGGCTTCTTCGGTGATGGTGGGGAGGATGTCGAGGCTGTCTTGGAGGCCGCCTTCGTTTACGTAGCGGGTCAAGATTGCGGGTTCGCCTGTGGATGTTTGGGTTGGGAGGTAGGTTGTGCAGGAGGGGCAGGAGAGGGAGAGGGCTGTTTGTTCGGATTGGTCTAGGAGGCATTGCCTGGGTTTGTTAGTTGGTGTTCGAATAGGACCGGAGGGGGTAAGGGCGGTGAGAGGGATGAGGGGGCTTACCAGTGAAAGTGGCAGCCGCAGGGGAGCTCGAGATCATCGGGGACGTTTTGGGGCTCGTCGCCGGTTTGGTTGTCTTCGTCTTCGCTGTCTGGGTCGATTGTGATGATGAGGGGGTCCTCGCAGGCTTTGCATACGGCTGCCATGGCGAATGTGGATGGCGGGGGTGAGAAGCAGAAATATGGTCCAATTCGGTGGTGATGGAGCGTCCAAGAAGCAGACCTTGCGTTCAAGTGTGCTGAGCGAGACGACAACAGAGTTGAAGTGAGATTACTCTCAGCAGTTGAGGTCGCGATGACGGTATCGCCACGGAGGATCAGAAAATTCGAGGTGGGGGGAATTTGGTGCGGGGACTGTGCTCAGATCAGGGAAGCACTGTACTTGGTCAAGAGTTTGCTATGGACAAAACAGTGCATCTTTGCGAGCCAGTCTCTTTGCCAGTAATGTGCCGGGATCATGATGCATATCTTGGTCAAACTCCCCTGAACCCAGTCGTTCCAGAAGATTGCCTAGAGCGGCCTACGGGCAGATTGACGGCTGGCAATCTATTTCAAGGTTGGGCAAGTCTGGAGAACACTTTGGGCGCTTAGGCATTCATGGGCTAGAGAGTAAGGGGGCGTCTAGTTGCTTTAACTGTGCAAGTGGGCAGCAGCATGAACGGAGATGGAGATCGATCATCGGGCCTTGTGCAGGGCGAGGTTATTTCGATCTTGGGTATTAGTGCAATAGCCCCTTACTACGTATGCCTCAAAGTACTTTCTGGGCTGCTTTACATAAGCATCATGCAGGGGAAATCTCCGTGAGGCGAACCACGTCAAAAATAAAGAAAGTCGATGGGGACCCGGAGCGCCGGAAGACTCTCGCGGACGGCCAGGTCTGGAGGTCTCGTTTCCGCGCCCGTCCCCGTGTTGGAGAGCCGCGAGCGTCGTGGACGTGCAGAACATGTGGTGTGGTGCCTGGCGAGCCACGCGTGCACGTCGTCGTCGTTTCTCTTTTGTCGATGACTCGACGTCTTGGCTAGACTTCGTCTTTTCTTACACCTTGGGTTAGACATGGACATGATGAATCGGGAATTAGGCAAATATGGTAAACGGAAGCCTGCGATTGTCGTACGCTGGCTTACACAAGTAGTCGTAGGCGAAACGAGAGCGAGCTTGCCTTACGCAAGCTGTTGTGGCTGGTGGCCGTTGGCCGTCGGGTACCTCGGGCGTCTGCTTGGGTACGCGGAAGGGTAAAGTACACTAGGTCTCACGGCCGCCCGACTTGTCCGAATCCAAACAGGCTTCCCGCGGTTACCTACCTCAAGGTGCTAAAGCAAGGGAGGTACCGTGTTTCTCGCATTGATTCGGGTGGCAGGTCGAGGTACCTTACCTCAGTTTGCTCCAGATGTGAGCACTGAGGAATTAGGATGTACCTCTCGCCCCAGTTTGGGCTGTTGGGTACCTATGGGTCCATCAATTTGCTTGAGCGGCTTGCCTCACTCTCAGAAGCTGAGGTTTGGCAATGTCCACGGGTACGGCAAGGTAATAGTCCAGGCTCTGCTAGACCACGTGCTGAACATTGCTTCGCTTCACCAGCGTTGCGTTGGGTACCTAGTGTATTCGTAGAGACAGAGTAAGTGTCGCATCGCAATGTAAGGCAGCCAAAGTTGAGAGCAAGAGGTGTCTTAGGTAATCGAGGCGATGGCTGTACAATTACATCAATGGCCCCTCCCCGCCCCCGCCATCGAACTGGGAGAAAAAAGGTACCTACCTACGTAAGTCTCGCACATTCCATCCGGCCCCCATTGCCCCCTCTTCTCCCCTCCTCGAAGTACCTCTCACGCTCACAAAGTCACCTTTCCGCCTTAACACGCGCATTTCGTACCTCGTCACGGCATAGCGCAGCACAGCATTTTGCACAGCCAGCCCCCATTGCGAGCATACCTACCTTACCTTACCTATTTTACCTTGCACAGTACCTTGGTCGTACGGATACCATACCTACAGTACCTGCTTACCTTGTCTTGTGCCTACTTCCATTGCCTGAACAACCCTCTTCTGGGCCTTTAACCTGTTTGATTTCTTGCTTGACCTGGGTACCAACAAGTACGACCTTGCTAAGCCCTGGTTGACCATCGACATCATCACCCTCTTCCTCCCTCTAGTTCATTCAAATTGTTTGTTACAAACACTTTTCTCCTGACATACAACATTGACAACTACAGCAACACTACGACTGCTTAAGCCAAACCCAACACCTCGAATAACCCAGACACCAAGGAATTCAGACAGCAGGACCCGGAGGTACTCCGCCTACAAAGTACCTTGCTACATAGTATAGATACTTAACCAACCTCCGTCAACGTCCGTGCGTTCCGGAGCTTCCTGCGCATCTGCCACTCCCGCTTGGTCCCTGGTCAAGTCAAGTGCTTCCAACCTGCTCCTCCGCGCCGAGCGCATTACCCAGAGAGACTCCCGTCATCCTCTTCTCTCTACCGTCCACAAACTTCCCCAGCGGCTTCGCTACCCTCAACCTGCCGTCTCCCTCAATCGTTCGTCTCCTTTCCCACGACACGCCCAGAGACGACCACAACCATGAACGTTCTCAAGCTTCAGAGGTGCGCACACACTCAATCGCATTCCCTGCCCCGCACCGCTGCGAGTGATTCACTTCCGCCAGCATTGCTCAGGGGCTCTGCTCTGCTCTTGCCTTCACGTCTCGTTTGCCGTCACTAACCAAGCATCCACCTGCAGGAAGTATCCTCAATTCCCGCAAAACGAGATCTTTGGCCTCAGCGACGCATTCCGCAAGCTCGACATTGACGAAAAGGGCTACGTTGACGAGGCCACTGCCATCAAAGCCACCCAGCAGAGCGAGCGCCAACCCTACGATGTCGTACGACAAGCTCTGAAGGAGGTTGACCTCGACTCCTCCCGCAGAGTCGAGCTCGAGGACTATGTTGCCGTATGTTTCAATGGAAGCCTGCCATCCATCGACCCCCAAGTAATGCTAACAACACGCCTACAGCTAATTGCAAAGCTCCGCGAGTCCTCTCCAGCTCAGAAACGCATGTCGACCGGTCCCGGTGGTGGTACCGGCGCATCCATTGTCGCGCAAGCAACTGGAGGCATGGGTCACTCCTCAAAGTCGAGCATCGGCAAGATTCACGTCCAGGGCTCCAACGCCAACGTCACCCACACCATCAACGAAGATGAGCGCACCGAGTTCACCCGTCACATCAACGCCGTCTTGGCAGGTGACGCAGATATTGGAAGCCGCCTTCCCTTCCCTACTGACACCTTTGAAATGTTTGACGAGTGCAAGGATGGTTTGGTCTTGGCTAAGCTCATCAACGACAGTGTCGCCGACACCATTGACGAGCGTGTTCTGAATAGACCCAAGAACAAGAAGCAGCTCAACGCTTTCCAGATGACGGAGAACAACAACATCGTCATTGAGTCATCCAAGGGTATCGGTCTGTCCGTTGTCAACATTGGCAGTGGTGATATCATTGAGGGCAGAGAGCACTTGATTCTCGGTCTGATTTGGCAAATCATTCGCCGTGGTCTTTTGAGCAAGATTGACATTAAGCTGCACCCCGAACTCTACCGCTTGTTGGAGGACGATGAGACTCTTGAGCAGTTCCTGAGACTCCCCCCTGAACAGATCCTTCTCAGATGGTTCAACTACCACCTCAAGGCCGCTGGCTGGAACAGACGGTAAATACTGAGCCATGAAATCAATGCTGGAAGCATGCTAACTTGCGCAGGGTGAACAACTTCTCTAGTGATATCAAGGACGGCGAGAACTACACTGTACTCCTGGCACAAATCGGCTCCGAATATGGCGCGACGAGAGCGCCTCTCCAAACACGAGACCTTCACCAGCGCGCCGAGGAGATTCTGCAAACCGCCGACAACATGGGCTGCCGCAAGTTCCTCACCCCGTCATCTCTGGTCGCCGGTAACCCCAAGCTGAACCTGGCTTTCGTTGCCAACCTGTTCAACACCCACCCCGCGCTCGACCCCATCACCGAGGAGGAGAAGCTCGAGGTGGAAGACTTTGATGCCGAAGGAGAGAGAGAAGCCCGCGTTTTCACTCTGTGGCTCAACAGTTTGGATGTGCAGCCTGCTGTGCAATCCTTCTTTGACGATTTGCGCGACGGCACGGTGCTTCTGCAGGCGTACGACAAGGTTATCAAGGGATCCGTCAACTGGCGTCATGTGAATAAGCCACCGGCGCACGGCGGAGAGATGTTGCGGTTCAAGGCGGTCGAGAACACAAACTACGCGATCGAGCTCGGCAAGCAGAACCGCTTTTCGCTTGTGGGCGTCCAGGGTGCAGACATCACCGACGGTCAACGGACCTTGACTCTTGGCTTGGTGTGGCAATTGATGCGAAGAGACATCACCGTCACACTGTCAACACTGGCGCAGCGTCTTGGCAAGAAGGAGATCACGGACTCGGAGATGGTCAAATGGGCCAATGACATGTCTCGCAAGGGCGGCAAGTCATCTGCCATCCGATCCTTCAAGGACCCCTCCATCGGTACCGGTGTGTTTTTGCTGGACGTGCTCAGCGGTATGAAGAGCAGCTACGTCGACTACGACCTCGTCACCCCCGGCCACACAGACGACGACGCCTACCTCAACGCCAAGCTCAGCATTTCCATTGCGAGAAAGATGGGCGCCACCATTTGGCTGGTGCCCGAGGATATTTGCCAGATTCGCAGTCGCCTGGTGACCACCTTTATCGGCTCTCTCATGGCCACGGCAGAGAAGCAAGGGCTTTGAGGTGATGCGTCTTGACGAATGAAGGTTGCCTTTCTTTTCCTCACTCTCCAACGTTTGATGTTTCTTGTCTATGAGGATAGAAAAAGGCCAAAACTGCGGCGAGGCTTCGATTGTTTGTTTTTAGTTGAATGAATCCATTACGAATACCACAGACTTTTGTAGAATTGGGCCAAATGTGACTTTCCATGTCTTTTGCATGTGTTCTTATGACGTCTATCGGTGGGGTTTGACTTCCTTGATCATCATCAAACAGTGATCATCCGTGTATACGTGCAATCTTTTCAGACGCACTCCGAGTTGAACTCCGAGTAATGTTTTGTAATTGTACAGAGTCCCAGCCTCACGGCAACTATCTTTACATGCGCCATCACAGTATAAGATACAGACTACACAGTAGACTCGGCCCCGTAAAGATGCCAAACCAAAAAATGACGTTCCCCAGCACCTTGCGGTCCTTCATCCACCTCGTCCGGCTTAGTTGGACGAGCTATACGCAGTCAGCACCCGTGCCATTTCAAAAAATGTAAACATGATCAAGTAACTGGCAACGATGTGGAAAATGGACAAACATATCGAGGGCCCCGGATTTGGACTTGCGACGTACCGGCAGTTGACACATTTGTAGGAACAGGAGGTAGCCCCTCAGCTTCTTGAACAGACACCACATGACGAGCTCGTGGACGCAGGCGGAGAGGAAGAAGGTGATGAGGGTCGCCGTGTGGCGGTTTACTTTCATGGAGGAGATTGAGCTGTGGTAGACGTGTCGGAGGAGGAAGTTGTGGACGGGGCTGCGTGGTGTGCGTTAGCATTCGTTCGCCTGTGTTTTATCTGTTGGATGGGGTAGATGGTGATGCTTACCGGTTCCAGTCGCGGGCGAATTGATCCCATGAGACTGTTGTTGCGTCAGTTACTTGGGGGTTTGACATCCAGGGGAAGGGGCAGACGTACCGCTGTTCCACCACGCGTCGTAGAAGCTTCTGTCGGCAAAGTAGGTGAGTTCCGCGAGGGTGTTGAGGACGGTTTCCCAGATGAGGTACCATGCCATCTTGCGTCTCTTGTTAGCTGTATCCCCTGATATTGAGGAACGTTTTGGGATATGGTCCCAACTCACCATGTACTCCATCATAAAGGGGAAGATGAGATCGCTTAGCATCCAGGGAAAGTAGCGGAAGCGCTCGGCCAGGGGCATGCCCGCTTCCTTCATGGCGATGGTTTGCATCACGACGGGGTCTGGCGCGTGTTAGTAATAGAATCGACAGCTGGATGAGACGACGTTGAATGAGGGAACTCACAAATAAAAGCCTGCGACACCATAATCATGACGAGAATGATGCCAAACGTGGCGGCCGTCTTCTCGGCAACGTAGTACCAGTCAATCGACTCGGAACGCGGGTACTCGAGCTCGTACACGACCGTCGGGAGAACAATGTACTCGTAGTGGTTCGCGAGCGAGAGGTTATTGGGGTACGCCCGGACGACGCTCGTCGCCTGGCCCCGGAGCTCGTCCGTGATGCCGTCAATCTCCCAACGGATGATGCGCTCAAAAACCCGGACCTGGTCTGCGTCGAGGGGCTGTCCGGACTCGATGGCGCGGGCGATGCGGTCCAGGTCCGTCAGCTGGTGCTGCTCGTCGCCGCCATCATTTGCGTGCGATTGAGACTGTGCCTGCGCCTGCGCCTGGGCGATGGACTGTCTCCGCCCATGCATCTCGGCCGCGGAGGGCGGGTTGGCGAGGTGGGAGACGGAGACGGTGGAGGCCGAGGGGGTGGTGGAAGAGGGGAACTCGGTGGGCGCGACGTGCTCCAACTTCTTGAGCTTGGAGAGGAGGTACTTGCGCTTCTTGTAGGCGGACGAGAGGTAGCCGTTGTAGAAGGCGTACGAGTGCTGCTTCATGAGCATGACGATGCCGTGCAGGACGAAGAAGACGGTGTGCGTCCAGGGCCAGTCGCGGATCAGCGTAAGACCTATGACGCCGCCGATGAAGGCCGACTGCCAGATCTGGTGGACTGTGAGAATCTGTCTGCTTTTAAGGTATGATACTCACTCACATTCTGGATGATCCAGCCTGACCTGTCCCAGTCAATGTAGCCGGCAAAGACCAGCCGCTGCAATACCCAGCTAACGCCCGTGATGGCGCACATGACGCCGTCAGAGGCGAGGAGCACGACGACGTCCCGACGGAACATGGTCTTCATGATCTCGTTTGTGCCCAGGGGGTTCCCCGTCGCCCGCCAGTTTGTAGCGGCGATCCTGGTGACGAAGAGCGCTACGGCCAGCCAAAAGAGCGTATAGAAGCCGTGAAAGGGGCTGTTGGCCGCGTTTGCGTTTTGCCGGTCAAACGTGGAGAATTGCCGTGTGAAGACGAGGTCGCTGAACTTGCCGGCCCGGCGTAGTCTCTTTGGGTCTTTTTCCTGTCATTGTGTTAGTTGGTCATTACATGGTGTGCGTGAACAATCTACCCTCTCTAGACCCCGTTTGAGGACATCCCGCAACTCGCGGTCATCTGGAGACAACACGTATGTCTTGAGACGACCGGATCCATCACGGAGAGGCTCGTCGTCGATGCTCGAAGTTTCTGATAGCGTCGAGCCGTCTAGTGAGAGCTTCCTCTCACGATTCGAAGAGTTCTTGAGAGGCGATGCGCCGGGACGGACCGGTGCTCGTCCGTTGCGCGGCCTCACTGACAATTTCGGGTCATCGTAATCCTCTTCGCTTGGGCTCTCGGAAGGCGTCGCCGATGCTGCCCGGCCCGTAGCCCGTAATGCATCCCGGAGTGAACGGGGCTCCCGGGACGCGGCCAATGAGGTTGTCATTTGGCCGTTCTTTGACGTGTGTCTTTGCACGGTCGGTATCCCAGAGGATGCTACTGCCAGATCATGCAAATAATCCGGCTCACTTGAGATGAAATAAACGCGGTGCAGTGATGCGCTTCAAGGCGATGTCGTCTGGAGAGTATCAAGCAGAAGCTCAAACTCAAATTAATTGACAAAAGTTAGCGACAACCGTCAATTCTTTGCTGGAATTCGTCGAGATGAAATCATGAGAGATGATTGTGTATATAAGTTGACGGCGTCACGGTCCGAAGTCGATGTAACGACACAGCCGAGAACCCAAGAACCCGGAAGCCAGTCGACTCGCGCGACTGGGATGCGAGTACGAGTGATGGACGATACGGGTACTGAGGATGTTTGATAATGACTCGGAACGAGTACGAGAGTACGAACTGTTTCCCCAAAAGCGGTTTGATGGAAAATGGGTGCCAAGCAAGCACCACAGATGGTAGTAAATTGAGAAGGGATGAAACATGAAGACGAGCAGAGAACTAAGACGAATTGGCGGGTAATGATATAAGACCAGCTCCCCGCCAAGTGATGGATTCTACGGGTCTGCCGGACTCAGATGTCAGTCATGGCGGATCGTAGACGCCTCTGCCGAGCTACTACTCCATGGCTGACACGGATGCGAGAGAGAGAGAGACAGAGATGATCTGAGATTGTAGGACAAAGGCGTTGGCAGGAGGCTCAAGATCGGCCGAGGTTCCCGGTGAGTTTCCTTGCAGTCACTGCCGACATGACACCACAGCTTTGCGGCTCACGGATGGTACGATGAGGAAGAAGCAAGCCCGAAGATTGCGAGGTTTCCGTTGGAGAGCTTTAGTCTATCAATCCCGCTTATCCCGCCCCAGGACGGGAGGCCTGGAACCTACGGTAGGAGGCGACATCATGTGGGTGGTGCATGTGGGCTCCGATGAAGTCAGGTAAAGTATAAAAATAAGATAACAGATGCACCGCGTGGGTAAAGACGGAATGAAATGGTGGTCCTCGCCATCCAGAGCACAGGCGACCCCAGTTTATGAGTTGTTCCTTTGACGAATAATAAGCCCGATCAAGAGGGTTTTGGTGAAGAGGATCCCCGTACTCCGTACAGTATCGCATAATACGTGAAAAGGGGAGACTAGGTACCGGTAGATGATTGTATGCTAAGGTAAGACACTGGTCTACCCCGAATGTCTCTGGTTGGTGCCTCGATTGTCTCGATTGTTTCGATTAGCCAGGTAGATGCCGGAGAAGAAGTCGCGGTCTTCTTATTCGGCCTCTAACGTCTTTGTGCAGATGGAATAGTTGAGTAGCAAAAATTGAGTGAGCAGCTGGAAGAAGTGTTTCCTTGAAGGGTATGTCGCATCCGAGGAGAAGACATATACACGTTGCCCGGGATCTGAGGTGTAAAGTGGTATGTACTCCATCTTCTCTTTGGCGGTTCTCTAACGAGAAGCTGTCACATTGTGTGGCCGGAAGCGGAGAGACAGAAACACACTCGCATCCGGGCACTGGCCGAGTTCCTCCGTCGGTGCGCTGTCTGGTGTTTTTGTCCGAAGGGTGCTAAACATCGATGTACTCTGTAGATGTTTTGTTACGTTCAATCCTCGAACTGCTCTAAACCTTTGGTGGTAGGCAGGAGCTTCGGCAATTCTCGGTGAGCGTGTTGGGTCACCTTGGTCACCTTGGAATGTTTGCAAAATAGATTTCCTGTCCTGGTGTGCAATGACATCATTCGCACCCGAAGGGGCCGGGTGTACCTGACCTCTCTGTTTCTGGTTAGCTTCAGCAAGGTAGGTACTTCGTCCCTTACCTTCCATTGCTTCTGAGGTGCTGTGGGTGCTTGCTGAAACAGTGTCGCAGTGAGCGGGAGGCACCTGCCAGCGCAGCGCGTTTCGACCTCCCCTGGCCTTCTGGAAGGAGCCACACAGCGACAGACTGTCACTGACTAAGTTACCTGGAGCAATCCAATGAATGGGAGGCAGGAGGCCCCAGCGGTGACTGCCTCGTACAAAACACCCACCAAACACTGGACGCGGACCGCTTTACGTAAGCTTTTCCAGCTCCGAGCGCGGTGCCAACAGAGCAACTGACGTCCTTCCACGTCGTTTTGAGGTGGCCCTGCTCCACCGGTACGTACCTCCAAGCTCGTTTCCGTAAGGCACTCACTCCGTACTCCGTACGCCAAAATCTTTTTGTTGCGCCAGGGCCGATCCGAGCGACCTCTCGCTTCCTCTCCTCCTCCTCCTCCGACCACTTCCATCACCAAACCACCAACGCGCATCTTCTTCCACCTTGTCCCCCATCGCGAGGCTCTGCTCCATCAGAACCCCGTTCTTCGTTTCAATCTCCATCGCGAGACACACACTTCTCTCTTCTCTACCCTCACATTTCTTTCAGTCTCTTTCAGCCAAAAAGTCAGCATCACCAACATCATGTCGCGCGGTGGCACCACCTTGTACGTGACTGGCTTCAGCCACGGCACTCGCGCCCGAGACCTCGCCTACGAATTCGAACGGTATGTCAACTGAATATCAGAAACTCCCACGTCGATGCCTCCGTCCGTCCTGTTTTCCTCCCGGCACGCGAGAGCCTTCCGAGATTTCCGATCATCTCTCCTTGCCTCGCTGCTCCCCGCCCACGCCTCCGTATTCGTCCTCCGCCCGTCCTCCCGCTCTCGCATTCGCTGCTCCCAACCTCACGCATCAACCCAAAGATGCCTCCCTCGCCCGTCCTACGTTTCCGTCCTCGTCCTCGCCCTCCGTTTCCCCGTCGATGCGTCCTGTCCTCGTTCGCTTGGGCTGCCTCCTCCCAACCCACCGCCCGTTGTCCGCGCCGTTGTGGCCTGCCAACGCTCCGTGGCGCACCGAACACAATACAGCTTCCTTTTGCTGCGCCGCCGACGGCCGACGTTTGGTCTATATCGGAACAAACGGATAACCTCATGTATGTATCTACGTGCTGACGTTCTGACTCGAATATAGCTATGGACACCTTGTCCGATGCGACATCCCTGCTCCTCGCTCGGCATCCAGCAGACTGTGAGTTCACTCTCCTCTCGCGTATCCGTACAGATCCGAAAAAAGACTGACACCATGCTAGGTTTGCCTTTGTCGAGTACGAGGACCGTCGCGATGCTGACGATGCTTACCATGAGATGCACAACAAGCGCATCGGTCGCGACGACATCCTGAAGATTGAGGTAAGGCGGTACGAGACGCAGCTTTGAGGGACGTTTGCTGATACACTACAGTGGGCTCGCACCCCTCCTTCCGCCTCATGGCGCTTCGACTCTGGTCGTGACCGTGAGCGCGCTCCTCGCCGCTCCTCTCCCCGTCGTGGCCGCTCGCCTTCTCCTCGTCGCAGCACCCGTGACTACTCTCCCCGAAAGGACGACCGCCGGGACCGCGACCGCGACTATGACCGTGGCGACAGACGCGACACCCGCGACCGTTCCCGCAGCCCTGACCGACGGTGTGTTGACTCTCCTAGAACTTTCAAGAACTCTCCCAAAGAATCCCCCCCGGGCCAAGGGCCCCTCAGAAATGCCGAATTTGAACTAGTGATCCTGACTGGTCAGAAGTGATCGAGACGCCAAGGAAGACCGCGAAGACCGGGAACCCCGTGAGAACGGTACCAACGGTGACGATAGAAAGGGTACGTAAACCGGCGACTAGGTGTGCGCTGGGGTGCATAGTAAGCTAACATTCGACAACAGCACTGGACAGCCCTCCCCCTGCCCATGACGACCTGGACGTTGCTGCGGAGTGATAAGTATACCTGGCAATTTCTCTTGTCGGGTTGTGCGCGGCTGTGCCAAAAGTTTTTCTGATTTCTCACCCGGTTCTCCTCTCTCTCACACCATCTGAATCCTGGATCTGTAAAGTGTCCTCACCTTCTGGGAGATATTTAGTCTCGATGCGACCGGTCCGGCTTCTTCGAGTTTAGCACACGACACCCCGGGCTGTCCGAAGTTGGCAGCATCCGAGTCACCAGACATACCTATCCAGACTCGATATCGGCGGGACATACGTTTCGGAAACGAACGCGAAACGGCGCGAAATTATTGGCGAGGCGGTCTTTTGAAAGCATTACCCCCTAGTAGTTAGAAATTGACATGTAGGTTTTTCACAGCAGCCTCCAGATGTGGTCTGATGGCTTAATTTGAAGCTCTTTGACATAATTGAGTCCAAAGATGACTGGTTTTTGATTTGGTGATGATCCGTCCATGACCCTGATCTATTTTGGACCGTGTAGCAACCGACCGCATATCCATTGGCCAGGGAGAACCCCCTCTAGAGCAACATCTAGTGAAATAGTCCACGTGTTTATGGTTGCTGAAGCAATTCCTGCGTGATTGAAGCAGTTTACAACAAGAATTGCCTGCCGTCTCTGCACGTCGGGGCTTTGAGGTTTACAAAAGGTGTGGAAACGCAACTAGTTGAAATCATCCACAGAAGGAGATTGAACGTGAGGTAGGCAACATACCCTGTGACTTTAGCTAAGAGGTTTACCAAATCATTGGCTAAAGTTATAAAGTATGAAGCAAACCGAGTTGCCACTACCAAAATCCTGCTGGCTATCTTGGTTACCCATGTACTTAGACAGTACATACCTCAGGTTGCTTTGCGATAGCGAGCTGATTGTTATTTGCTTGCTAAACGTCAACACAGCAAATAGAACGTTCCGTGTTGCAATGCGGGGAAAGCTGGAGGAGGGCGGGGTGCTCTCCGAAGACTAAGGCAGGTAGTTCGGTGTTGATAGGGAGGATCCGGAGGGTCGGGGTGCCGAAGGGAGGGTTTCTCGGCAAACTCGCGCTGATGTGACCCGGACGCCGCCGATATGGATGAGGGGAGAGGATGGAGGCACTGCCGGACCTGGCTCTCGGGATTGGCGGGAGTCGCTTGGGTTAGTTTGCCCAGGCAGGTTTGGCGGTGCCGAACAATGTTTGTGCACTTGGTAATTGCAAGCAACACATATTCCTGGCTGAACTGTGCCGATGGGATGTGGTGTTACCTGTTCTATCACTGCGACTGCGAGATGACATATCATGAGTTCCCGGATACCAAGACTCTCAATGTGGTCATGTGCCTTGCGAGCCTGTACCGGTAGTCCTTTCACATACGGAAGCCGGGTACCCCATTTTCCCCCAGATTGTCGTCATGGTAGTGGAGTTGAAAGCGAGGAGAGCAACAAGGCCGGAGAGCACTCCATCCACTCAGAGGAAGCAAGATTGTGATTTCAAGAAGAGGAGAGGAAGTTGCCAACTAAATCGAGCTGTACCGGCAGCTGACATCATTTTCCGGTTTAATTCTGACGGATAGTATCAGCGGATAAAGGGTACGCCGTGGTTGGTTTCCAGTCTTCAGGTTACAAGAAGCAGCCGTCTCAAGAGGGACAGGTAGAGGTACCGGGCGAGATGTACACATTCCGAGGTTCCTCAGCTACCTATGGTGACCAACGGACACTTTCCGTGCCCAGAGCCGGCGGGAGAGCCACAGCCGCTATGGCCCGCGGGGTCCCCTAGAAACTGTTCGCCTTGGGCTGATTGAAGTGCTGTCAACTGCCCTGCAGCCCCTCAGATTTGGAGTCAGGTACATCATCGCAAGTACCCCAAGTACTTCGTCGAGGTTCCCAGGAGGGAGCTGAAATTCGATCTGCGTCGTTGGGATCTGGTCACTGCGTCCGCCCCTTCACAACCAGCTAATTCGTTCCTCGCGACCTCCAGCTCTTCCTCACACCTCGCCCCTAGACGACCTGTCACCGCATCCAAAGACCAAAGACCAAAGGTCTCGGCGCAAAAGCTCCAAGCTTGTCGACCTCTCTCTTCCACACATTGCGCGCCTTTCGTCAATTAAGCCGGCCCCCCTCACCGTCCGTCTCGTCGCTATTCCTTCCCGTCCCCGTCCCCGTCGACCGAAGCGACTCTGTTAATACTCGACCTCACCTCAACCTCTGCCCGTCCCGACCAAAGGGTTTCTTGCTCGCGCATCCCTCGAAACGATCCTCGTCTGCTTCGTGCCAAATCATCAATTCGTCGACCACTCGTTTACCCTCGTCAACCGAATCGAAGCGCCCTGCCCCTGCCATACCTTGTTGTCATTGTCAGCTTAACCGCGGCACATGCGAAATACCCTCGTCCAAACCCAGCAACCAGAAAAACCCGCGATACACACGACCACCTCCCAGCCGCACCAGCTCGCGGCCACGAGTCACCTTTGATGCTCGAATCCCTCTCCTCTCCATCTACTGTCCGCTCGACTATGCCTTCGTCGTCGTTACCATTCTCCTCTTAGAATCTCTGAATCTTTTTTTCTTTGGACTTTTTGGGTCATTCTTTTTCCCCCCAAAGCATACTTTTCCCTCTCAGCGCTCCTTCTTGTTCCTCCAGACAGTCGCAAACCTCATCGAGTACCACGAGATTCTTCCGCCTCCTGCCCTCAACAGCCTTAAATGCAAGCACAGTCATAGCAATAAGGTGGCTTCGGAGGTTCAGCAGTGTGGTCGTCAATCACGAGTTTTGCGCTTGCAATAACACGCATACACACACATCCGCACTGCTCCTTGACCAGAGTCTGAAGTCATGTCGCCTGTAAGTGCTAACCGTTCCTAGCTGCTGCATTTTCTACCATCCTTCCTGTCCTGCTACATCACTCTGCCCGGCCATCTACCAAGCAATCCCTGCGGCAAGTCAACGGTTTGCTGACACCCACTTTGCGCTGGCAGTCTCTCAATGACGCGGCGGTCCCTGCTGCTGCTGATGCTCCGGGCCCAGCTCCGGAACCGGTCAAGTACCTCTGGTTTCGCGATACCTTTTCCCAGCCCGTCGTTGCCGCCTTCTGTGCCGGCGGTGTTGCCGGTGCCGTCTCTCGAACCGTCGTCTCCCCCCTCGAGCGCCTCAAGATCCTGTTCCAGGTTCAGAGCGTAGGACGCGATGCCTACAAGCTGTCTGTCGGCCAAGGTCTGGCCAAGATGTGGAGGGAAGAAGGCTGGAGAGGCTTCATGGCTGGCAATGGCACCAACTGTGTGCGCATTGTGCCGTACTCTGCTGTTCAGTTCGGCAGTTACAACTTTTACAAGCGGGTGAGTACCATGCGCTTTTGACCACCTTAGCCGGTGCAAAGAACCAAGGCTAACACAGCACGACTCACAGAACTTCTTTGAGTCTTCTCCCGGCGCAGACCTCTCTCCTCTCGCCCGTCTGACGTGTGGTGGTATCGCTGGTATCACTTCCGTCTTCTGCACATATCCCCTTGACATTGTTCGCACTCGACTGTCTATCCAGACTGCTTCCTTTGCAGAGCTGGGCCCTAGAGCCGAGAAGCTCCCGGGCATGTGGACTGTTATGGGCACCATGTACAAGACTGAGGGCGGTATCTCTGCCCTGTACCGAGGCATCATCCCCACCGTCGCTGGTGTTGCCCCCTACGTACGTGGTTTCCCTGTCTTGAGATGAAATTGGTCCTAGACTCTAACTTGACAAAACAGGTCGGCCTCAACTTCATGGTCTACGAGTATGTACGCAAGTACCTAACCCCCGAGGGTGACAAGAACCCCAGCGCCGTCAGGAAGCTGCTTGCTGGTGCCATCTCTGGAGCTGTTGCTCAGACCTGCACTTATCCCTTGTGAGTCGACTTGGCTGACATGAGGCATTGTTTGTCTTGCTAACAAACGTAGCGACGTCCTTCGCCGAAGATTCCAGATTAACACCATGACGGGCATGGGCTACCAGTACAAGGGCATCACTGACGCCATTCGGGTCATCATTGCTCAGGAGGGCGTCAAAGGCCTGTACAAGGGCATCGTCCCTAACCTTCTCAAGGTTGCGCCAAGCATGGCATCCAGCTGGCTCAGTTTTGAGCTGTCGCGCGACTTCTTGGTCTCCCTCAAGCCTGATGGTGACGGCGAGGCTGCTCTCTGAGATGAGATGTAGCTCACATGACTTTATTTACATCCGATCGGGCTCGTCAAGGGGATCTTCGGTATGAGGATTCCAATGATCACCAGGATCAATGGGGTGCCTTTATTAGACGGTGGCTGGCATAGCAGTCACACCGAGGCAGAGAAACTGCCTCTTCCCGGGTTGCACCTTTCCAACCTGGCATTTCAATCACCAGTGTTTTGATAATGTATTACAAAAAGACTCCAAGAGAGGCGAGGACGCCATGCGACTTTCCTGCATGGCATCATGGAAACGTGAAATGGGCACCGCTTTCCCAGAAGGATCGATGCACAAATAACCAAATGGGTAGACCAAGCATTAGCTCAATACAAGACATGGATCGAGCTCACAAGAGTGTCTTTTATCCTGGTGAGGTGGTAAATGCCCATACAATATTTTAGCAAGGAGATAAGAATGAGACTCTTTGCCATTCGTCCCTTCGTGAAAAGTTCTCTGGCCATATCGACATGCACCGAGGTACCTCGGTCAACATTGCCTTGACCGAAAAAGAGGTCTCACCGAGGCTGACCGAGAATGCAGGGGACCCTGCGGACTTTCCACAGAGTGGGTCCGTGCAGGTCCACCGTTCAGCAGGAGCGCCCCTCTGGAAGAAAAGGACCCACCGGAAAATTTATTGATCCACTCGACGTTGATTTCAGTTGCCCTAAAGCCCACACAGCCCGATTTTTCCGCCTGGCGAGGAGAGCGTAATTCTAGTGTGGCCCGGCGGAAATCTTTTGAAAGTTTCTCTTTTACACCGACGACGACAACATCACGGCCGCCCATTTGACTCAATTCGCCAACTTCGGGAGTCTATCGACAAAATGGGTACGTAGGAACTTCCCATTCAAGCCTTTACATGCGAGTGGAATTGTGCAACGCGCGGTCCTTTTGCGTCTCGCTGATTGTCCTCGTCGAAATACCTGGACATGGTGCGAGATGAATTGGATCTGCCGTTGCCTCTTCTGCGAACTTGGCGCGGCGAAAGGAAAAGGAATCCTCTCCTCACCACAAGATGATGATGCCTTCGTCTCTACTCCTGCGCTCTGCGGGGAGAAATAGATTCGAAATAGGGCTCAGCGCATCGTGGTCGATGGATGATGGACTTTTCTCGCCTGCATTCAGAGCATGCTTGAACCAAAAGGCTGACGATTGGGCTCTTCACCCCCGTTTATAGGTATCGATCTCGACCGCCACCACGTGCGCAGCACGCACCGCAAGGCTCCCAAGAGCGACAATGTGTACCTCAAGCTTCTCGTGAAGCTGTACCGCTTCTTGACCCGTACGTTTTTCCTCGATCCAAGAACCCGGCGACGAACGAAAGAAAATCGACTAACCCACTGCAGGTCGCACCGACTCCAACTTCAACAAGGTCATCCTGCGCCGTCTCTTCATGTCGCGCATCAACCGCCCTCCCGTCTCCATCTCCCGCATTGTCGGCAACCTGGACAAGGAGGACAAGCGCACCGTCGTCATCGTCGGAACCGTCACTGACGACAACCGTCTCCTGACCGTCCCCAAGCTGACCGTCGCTGCCCTGCGCTTCACCGCCACCGCCCGCGCTCGCATCACCGCTGCCGGCGGCGAGGCCATCACCCTCGACCAGCTCGCCCTCCGCGCCCCCACCGGTGGCAACACCCTCCTCCTCCGCGGACCCAAGAACTCCCGTGAGGCCTTCAAGCACTTCGGCATGGGTCCCCACAAGCACAAGGTACGATCATACTTCTCGTTCATAGAAGATTCTACGAGAACAGCACTAATACCCTCTGCAGAAGCCCTACGTCGAGTCCAAGGGCCGCAAGTTCGAGAAGGCCCGTGGTCGCAGAAGGTCCCGCGGTTTCAAGGTCTAAGCGTTGGTGGTATCTTCCATCATTGCTTGGCTCTTTTTCACTCTGGGGTTCGGTCGTGCGTGGCCTGGTCGCGCAGGTATGGACCAAAAGCAAGAACAACGCTATCACAAGACGGGTGGCGTGGGGTTGAGATATCCCCTGCGCCTCCTGTCGTGCTTTACAGGGAACACTTTTTCTTGCATGGTATGGCGTGGTTAGGTATCCAAAAAAGAAGAATTGACGACTACGAAACCTTCTCTTAACGGCGTCGAATGGCATCTCTTGGGCTTGGGTTTTTTTACCACTTTCATTTTGGACTTGCCCCTCTCTGTGACTCGCATGTGTGTGATGCTGTGTGTTAGATGTGATTCCAACCACGTCTATGTTGGTTGGTAAACCAACTGTGGTCGTTGAAGAGCAGCTTATACATGGAAGGTGAAGTCTGTTTTACCAGAGGTGTGCTCCCTTCTCGCTGATGAGTACTGGACGGTACTATTGTCCCCGCCTCTCAAATCGACGACAAACTGCCGTCATCAGTCCTTAACCACCTTTTTCACCCTTTCCGATTTCACTCTACCTAACCCCACGTTCCAGACTCTAGCTAGTCCCATCTACATGATGACATGTAGCCATCGCAAGAATGATCCTCGAAACAACCAAACTCTGCGTTTGACCTCTATGACTACTTCCGAGATTGAATATTTCTTACTTATCTTCACCCTGTTTCACTTTTGCACACCGTAAGCCTAGACCTTTCTAAGAAACACAAATTGGCAAAGGCAGTAGTAGCTTTTAGGTTGCAACGATGGGAAGAGCGGGAAGGATTTGTGACCTACAGTTCGTTTCACAGCGCATCATTGGCCCGGTTGGTTCTGATAGACTGCCAAAACTTGGGGCGGATATACTCGAGTAGAGTTCCTCTTGGTTTTAGGTGCACTGTTGATGTGAGGAGGAGCCAGTCTCTCCATCTACCTATAGTCCTCATGACGCTTCATATGCCTAGAGGCGCCTTTTGTCTTTCCCTTCACACCAGAACAGAGATTCTAACGGGAATCATCGTGATACAGACGGCAATCCGGCTTTAGCGGGTGGAATGCATACAAGTCCGCCGTAAATGCAAGTCTGCCTGCCGGCAGGCATATGGATTGTTACCAGCTGCTTCATCCCGTCGGCCGTCGTCGAGAAATAGAGGTGGGACCAGTCTGTCTCTGCTGTGACTTTGCCGATCATTACAGTAAGTGAGAACTGATCCAGGTCAGGATGGGTTCAGCTGAACTCGTTTCTGTCAATATTGACTCACTCCTGCATCTGTGAGCCGCGATGCATGTTGCAAGCCATGAGGCAATTCTACCATCGAAGAGAGTGAGGCACCTTTTTTTTTTTCCCCCTTTCCTTTAGAGTAAGCAAATAATAATCGAGTGATGCTTCTTGGCTAGTTTTTGAAATGCATACCACGCCCTGCTCCCTGATAGCTCTCTGACGAGTAAATGCTCCTACCAGAAGGAAGAAAAGCAAACGGTGTCTCAACCCAGCACTCAAGCATTGCTCTTTGAAGAAGAGCTGAAGCCGGCCTGATCAAGATACATATGCGCCAAGAGGCTTTTTGTAGCACTCCTTGCATATATCGGACGGTAATTCGGCTCCGCGAGAGCACAATTGTCAGCACCTTCGCACTCGCCCGGAAATCTCACGCGTGAGGCTGAGATTTCTGATGCGGACAACCCGACTTGCCCTAGCATACCGAGATACTTCGAGATCAGAACCGGTTTAGTGTTATCTTGAGACCATGTTGTGTCTGTATGGATTTGCATCAATCATCTCCCAAGCGAGCCAATCCACAACTTCAGCTGCGCGACAAGTCACAGATATTGATGTGATAGAATGACTACTGAAATCCCATGTTTAATCGCATAGTGTTCCTTTCTCTTTTTGAGAGATCTGTCTCACGCAAGGCCTTCGCAATGAGGATTCCCAATTCTATATCTAAGGACTCGGGCTTCTTCCATTCAGCCTTCTAGTCCATGCCATGCACGAATCATCTCATTCTTCTACACTTTTGCCATGGATACCGAAGCCTCCACTTGTCCCCAGGACAGCAACTCGACTGACTGTCTGCTTCGAAACCTGGTTCAAATTCTGAACGGAGCTCAAAAGTCCGATGATTCGAAGTATGATTGGGACCCCATAACCTTTGCCTTTACTGTCATCGTTGGTGCTGTGGCGCTTTTGTTTGCTCTGGTTCCCATCGTTCAGACCATTATCGCACCTGGACAAGGGAGTAGAACGACAAATCGCCTTGCCATTGGAGAAAAGTGGTCAAAAGAGAGCTCGAGACAATGGAACTGGCGCCAATGGACATACGAATACACTGTCATTACTCCCATCTTCCGTATGCAGACCTTGAGGAAGTGGGTGGAGGCGGACATCGACAACATCAAAAAAGAGTACGACGGAACCATTCCTGGGAGCGACATTGACGAGATCTGCGGAGAGAGAACCAGGTACACGGATCCAGAGAAGCACATAGCGTGTCAAAACACCATCGACGACAAAAACACCGAGAAGGACTCCGAGGGGTTGAAAAGTGCTTTAACAACGATCCTCCGCTATTTTCTCCCCAAGCAGACCTCCGCCCATTCCGAGAACAGGCCTGCCGCAACCTGGATTGACTTTTTCCACAGAGTTGGACTGGACAAAATAAACCCTCGAGACGACTTGGGTAGACGGGAAGTCACTGCTGACTACCTACCCAGCGACCTCGTGGCCGCTCCTGCGTACGCGCAGATTGGGGTTATTGTTACAGCCGCTTCAACAACACCGGGTTGGGCGAAGTGGCCCACCGACCCATCGTCAAATTTCCCTGTGATCTTTGGTTATGGATTTCAGTTTGACTTCCGCCAACACCCAATACTTGGTGTTCTTGGAGCCTATTCGCAGTACAGCAAACGACAGCAAGATCAAGACGATTCTCGCAATATCCCCGGTATCTTTGGACTCCAGTGGCTGTACGACAAGACCAAGGCGGGTAAGGACGCCCTTCAGAAGAAAGACAAGAGAGAGAAGCTGTTGTCGTACCACAGCCTATCCCGTCTCCATGCAGCCATATCCCACTCACGCGCAGCCATAGAGGCCGACCGGCAATCACTTTTCAGTGCCGGGCCCAATAACCCATTGAGTGTCATAAATCTAAGCAACAGCCATCACCGCGTCGAGGTATTAAGATATATGCTTAAGTTGTCCATGGCGGATATGCATTCCGGAGCACAGGGTGGCTTCATGTTGGACTATGGAGGCCTCTCCCATGAACAATACATGCCCATTGTCGGGCTGTTCCTGGCTACCACGCCACGATATGTGCCTACATTATTCCCTACGGACTTGCTGAGCAAAAGGCCTCCTCTTACGCTTCTCGCTCTGAATGGACACTTCTGGACGAATGTCACAAGAGAAAGCATCAAAGGGGACGACATGTCCGATTGGCCTGTGTCGCTTCAGACCTCGGACTGGGACCAGAACGTCATTCAATGGGTCAATGATGGGATGAATGAACTGGGAAGGGTCAAAGGTGAAACACTCGAGGCCGTTTTCATGGAGACTAAACGATCAATCTACCACCAGTTGCAGTGCCAGGGAGCGGGCGCAACGAAGCCTGCTGTTGGCCTCAAGATTGTACTTCATCTATGCATGAAGCTGCTTCACAACGATAAGACCTTTCGAACCTGGTTTTCCAAATACCATCCAGCAGTCGCGGCATACTTGAGACGCATCATTCATCTGCAACTCCAGCTGCTGGATCGCTGGTTCCTGAACCCCAACCACAACACATCCTCCACTCATTCTCGCGCAATTCGCATTTGCAACACGACTCTCGTGTTGATGCTAGCGGATGAGAAGGCACCAAAGAAAGATGACTCAACTAGTCCAGTTCCTGATGAACTGGACCAGACTGTCTGGCACCTCCATTCTAACACACTGGAATGGATCGAAGACTTGATGAATTCCATTGGCCTCACTCCGGAAACTCTCGAGGGCACACGGAGCGACTGGAAACCAGAAAAGAGCTTCGATGTCAAGAACCGCTCAATCAAGAACACTGGGAATCAAGAAGAAGACTCTGAGGAGATCTTGGTACCCTTGGCTGCACAGATGAAGCCGCGCGATAAAGACCTGAAATACCTTGCATGCGCTCATTACAACAAGAAGTGGGAGCTGTTGAATACTCATCAGATGCTAGACAGGTTGGACAAGGTGGCCTCATCCAGGGCCGACAGCTCCTATCGGAAACGGCGATTCCAGCAACGTGATGGAGGAGATGTGGCTAACGAAAAGACAACGGACGATATGATCATATTCCGCTGCATTCTCATAGCATTACTCTTTCAGACAGCCCCAGACAACGCAGCGCTCATCAAGTCGGGGGTTTGGGAACAGGTTGTGGCTATTGTCTAGGGCGCAAGGTGTTGGGTGCGACGAGCAAGGACTGAGGCCACGATCCTTGTAACTCGCTGTCTGCGATGAGCGTACCAACGAATTTTGTCCAGAAATGAGTAGAAGATAACACATAGTTCAATGCGTAGACACTGTTACTGGCCTCCGTTAATGTTAAGAGCTTGTTGAATATTTCCTCATTTATGACGATGATGGCTCATTCAGGAAAACCTGGCAGCGCACCCGTACAGACAGTATCTATATTCTGCGTTCTTTTCCCCGAATCTCACACTTGGTTCTGAATTTGGTGCGTAGGTTCCAAAGGAGAAAGGTATAAGTCAGTGTTTGGTCCATAAGACTAGCTATAGATTGACGGAGCTTTAGCATCATTCCGCTCATGAAGAGATCACTCGAGAACAAACTCGAATCCCCCTGAGATATACTTCCTCTTAGCCCATCCTTCCACAATGCCCCGGCTGTCGGCCAATGCATCAAGAAATTATAACACAGCCCTCACAAGATCGACCAGTCCAGTGCGGTCTGGCCCATCAAGCAGACCCTAGAAGCAACTCTCCCGCCGTAGCCTCTATCAACCGAAAAGCCGATTTCGGCAGCAGCTTCTTGCACTTGGGACACGCCGGATCCTTTTTCCTCAGGGTACTCTCCGTCAACTTCTGGAAGAGGCATCGTTTCCCAATAAAACACTTGCATTTCTTCATCCGCACCATCGGCTCTCCGCGATGGCAACCGCGGGCGCCATGGTCAAAGGGCTTGAACATGGCGCCCGGCGAGTGATCGTAGTACTTCTTGTTGCAGACGGGGCACTCGAGACGCGACGGCCCCTCCCAGTCGTCGACGTCCTCCGCTACGGAATCGATCAGGGCCCGCCTCGCCTTGTAGGCGATGACTTCCGAGTTCCACTCTTGGCGGCGGTCGTGGTAGTACTTCTGAATCAGCTGGACGAAGTACATGAACGGCTTGTGCGGCAGCGATGCCTTGTCTGTCGAGCTTGCAATATCGGCGAGCTTGTCTAGCCCTGGAATGGTCGACGGACCGCGGAACACCAAGGGCATGATGATTCTGCAGAGCACAGTCACCGCGAGACCAAACCGGCTGTTGGAGATGCCGTTATCGTGCAAGAGAACTTCTGCCATGAACTTGACCAGGTTGGCGCGCCTCGACATGGCGGTCGTCTCTAGGGTATGCGCATCAGTCCACCCGGCGCCATACTCTGCGTTCTGCAAGACCAAGACCGACGCCAGCTGCATGTGGTCGCGGATGTTCTCATCCAGCATCTTGCGACGACTTTTAACGAGGTAATTCGAGAACAGAGGCTGATGAGAAAGTCCGCCCCTGAAGTAGAGCTTCTGCGCTTGACAGAAGCCAGAGAGCACGGTGTGTCGGAATCTGAACAGGTTCTGCATGGCAGGATTCTGTATACGTGGATCCGACTCGGCCTTCTCACCGGCCATATCCGTGAGGTACTTGCGGGCCGCCGTGGCCGGGTTGTAGTAAAACGCCAGCGGGCCGTTCGCCTCGCAGGAGCAAGCGCCGACGCGGTGGTCGTTCTCCTTGCACCGGCGCTCCATGAAGAAGGCCCGGAACCACGACTCACTCATCTCCTCGTTCGTGACGTCGCTGGGAGGGAACTTGCTCCGGATCCAGAGCACGACGGAGTGAGAATACTCGGTCATGTAACTCTGGGCCCAGGCGTTGTCCTGGACGTCGTCGCGGTGCCACTCGTCGTGCGCAGGAGTCACTCGGGGCACGGCCGGGGTCTCGCCCGAGCAGCCGGGGCACATGTAACAGTAGAAGCTGGTGCGATTCTCCCATTGCTGGGCCGGGCAGGGGAAGATGTGCGAGCAGAGGATGTTGGCTATGACGCGGTGTCGTCTCTTGGGGGCATTAGGACGCGGGCTGGCTGGGCAGTTGTAGAACTGCAAGTGTTTGATGCACATGGCCGCGGCTAAGGCGTATGAAAGAATGATTTGTAGCTCGTCTTTGAGAATTTGAAGCCTGCTTTCAAATTGGATAATGAGGACAACTTCTGATCGTTATCCATCTCTTAAGCTCACAGCCGCGGCTTTGTATTAATTCGAGTATTGGTCCACAGAGCATTTCCAAGGGGCGAGCAGAGTTCCAAAGATATCCATCCCAGAAAAGAATGGAAAATCACTGAGTTCAGGGAACTGCAGGCCGCTCATTCAAAGATTGCAGAGCTCTCGACAGAATCGGCGTCGCTTTGTGCAACTCTTGAAGTTGACTTCCCTTTCTCACAGTCGCCCGGAATTGGCGCCATTGTGGACTCGTAGACAAAGGAGTACGTTGATATTCAACACTCACAATTGGAGGGTAAAGGGACATTCGACTACGCTCTTGGGACGTCAATGCGGTTGAAACTAGACCATGGATTCTGAATACCCTGGCGCTGAAGAGTATGGCGCAACTGATATGAATGAGAGGACATGTGGCGTGTGAGGCGGTCTATGTAATACACCTCACACATCAGTAGCCGCCTTGGAAGTACTCTATGTGGATTAAAAAGCTATGGTGTATATACATTAGTTGGAAGGCGTAAAGAGGTGGAGAGGTTCACGAGCCCCCCTACAATGATCTATAAAACCAATCATCTAGGTGTCTAGTTGAAAAGCCTAATCTCCTGACAGTCTCCGGGCAGTTTCACTAAAACATGACATCGGCATTAAGAGTCTGCTGTGATTGACGGCTTAAATCCAGCGCAGTCTGCGCTTCGAGAGTCGACAAAGAGTCTGTGTTCTGCATGAGCGCGGCGCAGTAAGTGAGGTAATCCCCAGCGTCAGCCTCCAGCCGACGGTCCCGCGACAACAGACCGCTGATTCAAAGTTTTCCAGTGAGTCCAGTCTGCTGCTTCGATATCATAGCCAAGTTTGCGTCTCATCGGCTTTAACATTTGCAAAAGCCAAGTACTGTATCGTCAAAATGTCCCCTCAACGCCCCTAATAAATCTCGCACGATCAAGTTTGCATTCCAGGATTGATAGTAGTGTTTGCTTCAAGCTACAGGGATATCCCCTTAGCGAAAACGAAATGGTTTGCCAAGTCCCTGTCATTGAGGTCTACTCCTTACGTGGGCCGCGATCCCCGTTGCTCGAGCCAACGTCGATGCGGGTGGTGCCAAACGCGATCGAAAATCGCCGATGTATCCTTGTACGAGATCGTGTCTTTTGTGACATCAAATGAGCTGGCGTCCTATCCTTACGCTATAACGTGCGAGATCCGAGATTCTGGGAGAGCTGGACGGCGAGGGTCCCGGGTGTCGACATGTTGGATCCCGCTGGACTCCATTTTCAACGTCAAGCTGCAAGTGATGAGGCTCTTTGTCCCGACGAAGGGGGCCCATCTCCAATGATGATATAGGCCCCGACTGCTACAGACGTTGATGAAATACATAGACGAACCGTCTGCAGAAAGTTGACTTTACTCAGTCACCGTCGACTCCCCGACTCTTCTCTCACATCTCGCCCTCAGTCTAGAACTTGGCATGGCGCTGGTCCCAAAGCAGAAGACTTGTTTGGCCACAACCAACAGGTATGTTCACCACATGAGATTGTTTGCTCGCGCCACTCACACAATCGTGCTTCTCCTCCGAGCCTCCTACTTTCTTCGGTTCTTGCACAACTCGCAGGGGGAGGGAAGTGAAAACGATCCCCTTGCGTTCGGCGAAAGTCCATGTTCCTTGTCCGTCCATCGCCGAATGCTCACCTTCATATAGGAACGTCAAAATTCCCTAGCAGTAACACAATACAGCCTGAACCTCCCTTCGATCTGCATTTCTGCCCTCCTACTTTCTTTCTTTCTTTCCTCCTCCCTCCCTTCCCCCAAAAAAGACCGGGAATGGTGGCGTTTTCAGACACTGCCAGCTCCCTCTCGTCAGGCTGTACCATTGTCGGGAACCTGGCGGTATCAGCCTGCATCCCATCAACAATGTCCTCACAACCGCAGACCGCCGACCCCAACGCACCGCTCTTCGGCGTCGCCCACAACGTCTCACGTCCAGCCCTGACGGCCTACACCTGGGCCAACGTCGCCACCTCGTACGTTTTCCTCTCTCTCCGCCTCCTCGTCCGCTGGCGCCGGAACCGGCATCTCCTCCGCGACGACATCTGGATGGTCTTTGCCTGGCTGTGTCTCCTGATCATGGCCATCCTCCAGATGCAGCAGATGGACTCGCTGTGGTACGTTGTTGAGCTCGGGGCGGGGAGGTTCGTCCCCGCGTCCAAGAGGGAGGCGGAGTTGCAGCTGGAGCAGTGGTTGCGTTGGTCGTATGCGCTGACGTATCTCTTTTGGACGGGGTTGTTTGCGGTGAAGGCTAGTTTCTTGAATGTGTTTTTCAGACTTGTTAGTCCCATCCCGTGGCTGCGCAAGGTCTGGTATGGGATTGCCGTGTTTTGTCTACTTTCGTATGTTGGGGGATGGCTTTCGGGGTCGCTCATTTGTGATACTCCGTCCGACTACTTTCGGGCAGGTAAGTTTCACTCCTGAACTCGCGGTAGCAGTCTCTTGCATCTGATGCTTGTTACCAGGAAAATGCCTCTCCCCAAAGGAAGTGTACAACTACCGCTTCTCCATCTTCTTCGCAACAGCAGCCGACGTCTTCACAGACCTGCTAATCATGAGCCTACCCATTGCCGTCCTCCCCTCGCTCCAACTCGACTTTCGAAAAAAGTTTGGTCTCGCGGTAGCCTTCTGCCTCGCCCTCATCACGATCCTCACAGCCATCGTACGCATGACGCAGGTGCTCAAGGGCGAGACGGTGGACATGGTCGGCCTGGCCGTGTGGAGTCTCACCGAGCTCGGCACCGCCATCATCGTGGGATCGCTGCCGCCGCTCAAGGCCCTCTTGACGCGTGGGATGAGGAAGTACAACGGGAGCAGGACGAACCGCAACAAGTCGTACATCAACTGCAGAGGCGAGCCCTGTAACGGATACGGCCCTAATAACACGTCTCGGTCTGTCATGGTTGCTGAATCGATCCCATTGGACGATAGGCATAGGAGCGAACAGTTTGATGGTGGGATATATGTTCAGAAGACATGCGAGGTTCGTGTAGAGGGTGCTTCAAAGAGAATGACTGATGAGGAAGAGGGAGTTGTGACGAAGAGTTTTGCTGCTAACAGACCTCCTTAGACTTTAGAAAAAATTCTGCTGAGAATATGAATGCTTTTAAGGACATCAGCGGCCCAAGACAGGTAAGATGAATAGAAATTATATTTAGGTCGATGCATCATTCTGTAATGCTGATTGTAGCTCTGTGTAGATGATATGGCGCCTTTGATGAGAGTGCCCAGTCGTTGGTCAGTCCGTCTCGATTTCGACTTGCTGCCCGGCTTGTGTAACAAAAGAAATGGGTTGAAAAAAAAAAATAACGCGAATGCAGACGCGGCGTAAAGCAGTAGGGTATCTTCAGCTTCCATCCTCAACTATGCCCAGGTTCTCTGAACGCCACTTGTGTTTGTTTGTATACCCAAGAAAATTCGACAAAAGAAATAAAGGATAGCGCCCGTATCCCTGAAATGCAGTAGACCATGCTCACACCGAGCCATGCAGCCTCACTCTTCCAACACCTCTCGAAGTGCATCGACGTCCACCTGGTCAGGCGACACTTTGCTCGGAGGACCGCGACGCTGATGAGCCGCCAGGTATTCTTGGAAACCTGGAATAGCACCGGCTTGATTGATGCCCGGCGGTCTGAGGAATTCCTTCTCCTTCTGCTTCTCTTTCCCGCTGCGTTGTGTTGGTGTCGGTGTTGGCGGTGCCTGCGTGGGTGTTGTGGCTCGGCCTGCTGCCGCACCAGTCCAAGGCCTCCAGCTGACCCATCGGCCTATTCCTCCAGAGTTCTGCGAACCTTGAGAATGTGTGCTTGCTGGCGAAGCACTTCGAACCGGAGTGGAAACCATCCTCGACACTGGTCGCCCTGCCAGACTATCGCGAAGCAAGGCGTCACTCCGTCGATCGCTTCCTCTCGATATCGTTGACCGTGCCGTGACTCCAGTGAATACAGCATCCGCCCCACCCAGAGGACGAAGGGTCAATTGACTCGGTCGTACTTTGAGTGTGTGGATATCCAAGCCTCCCGACAACGACATAATTGACTCGTGGGAGACGGCACGGTGTAGAGCTCTCCGCGGTAGCTCTTCGTCCTTGGAGAATGAGATTTCTGTCTCGGTCTCGGTTTCTGTCTCTGCGTGGTCCTCATTGGAAGTGAGTAACCCGGGCACTTCCTCACCGCTGTGATCCTCTCTCTCTTCCTCAATCGTAGACGAAATAGGCTGAGAGACATGTACTGTCGGGGCAGCTGGCGGCGCTGGCGAACCCAAGTTCAGAAACTTTGGAGGTACAGAGAAACTTCGAATTGACGCCTCAGAAGGGCGCTTGTGGTGAGAGACTTTCCACGTAGGCGACGTAGGATCCAAGCTGGTCGTCGGAGACATGGGTATGTCTGTCTCCAGCATTGGGCGGTCGAACATGGAAAGACGAGGATTTGACTGAGGCGAACTCGGGACGGACGACGGTGCGAATTCAGAGGGCTGCTCCGAGAAGACGGACCACCGATTTGAGGGCGGCATCGAAACTGTTGACGTTGATCCCGTGTGAGAATGCGAGGCCCTGGGGGTCACTGGTGAGGGGCCGGGTCGCCATACGGCCGGAGGAGGGGTGGACGATCGCGAGACGCTGGCGGGGGAGAAGATTGCCGGGTTCAGGCTATGGCGCTTCTTCTTCTTGTTCTTTTCGGCAACATGGTAATGGTGGTGGATGTGCACTTGCTGGGAAATATTGTGCTGTATCGTCTCGCCCAATTCTGGCCCGATTTCAGCACGCAAGGTCGACGCAGCGCTGGCGTCTTCCTCCCCGATGGGTTGATGACGCATGAGCTGGTCCCGCATGGCCTGAATTTCGTCGTTCGAGTTGAGAAGCATTTCCCGTAACTCGGCCATGCCCAGCTGCAGATTAGCATTGTCCTGCAGCAAGTCTCGGACAAAGTGAGATACCACGTTGGTGGCGGGTTTCCCGTTGGTGAGCGACTTGGTGGCGGCAGCTCCCTTGAGGCGTCCGGCGGCAAGGTTCAGTTCCTTTTCCATCTCACGCTGGCGCTCCACCCGGCCCAAAACCTCGGCATGGCGTTCACGCTCTTCCTTGGCCTCCTTTTCCATACGCTCTAGCTGTTCCTGAAGGTCAGAGATGCCTCTCTCGGCCTTTCTCCATCGCTGCATGGCGGAGCGGGCCTCGGATTCGGTCGTGATTAAGGTGTTTTGCAGCCGCAACTGCTCCTGTTCGAGAAGCGCAATATGCCTCTCCATCTCCGCAGCACGAGCCGCGGCGCCCTCGAGACGCCGCACTGCTTGGTGAGACGACAGCAGGGTAGCCTCAAGGGTCTGGATGCGTATATCGGAATCCTGAACCGTGTTGTTGAGCATTTCGAGCTGATCTAGTAGGGTACGGTTCTCTTCGACGGTCCTCGCGTTCTCGGCCTGTAATTCCACCTTTTCGGTTTCCAACTGCTCTATGCGGCTCGTAAGGGACATGCGATCTCGTTCGGCATCGGCCATGTATGCCTCATGACGAGCAAGTAGGGCCTGGAGAGGGAAGGTCAGCGACATGGCGACATGTGCAGCGAGAGAAGACGACTGTGCATTTGGGACGATTCGCAGGTTTGGTAGCGAACGCAGAATTTGCGGGCTGGAACGGTGCCGGGACTCCCCATCTTGAAGTTAATCACGGGAAATGAGGTGTTGGAATGTCTCGAGAGATTGGCACGGGTTTGGGGAGCGGCACGGCTGGAATGTTTGGACGGGTGAGGGAGAGAAGGGAAAAGCTAGAAAAAGAAGAACGAGGACGCACCTTGCCCAACTTGGCGGCGGTATGGACATCCTTTTCGACAGTTTCGAGCACGGAGCAGCTATGCTTCAAATAAGCACAATCGTTGCGACCGCAGCAGCATCGCATTCTGGACCCCTCGTCCGGGCGGGGAGCGGAAGTTTGGACGAAGTCTGCCATGGGATCGGCGTCGCGAGGACGGGCGTCATCGGTGTTGCGAACGGTATCGGTGTAGTCGTCGGTGAAGTGGGTGTCCGCCGTGTATCGGTAGGCCGTGGTGTTCAGGTCGAGGTCTGCTGCGTCGTCTTGTTCTGGGTCTGCATCTGGATCCGGTGGTGTACGGGTCTCGAGTTCTGCCATCGTTATTGCGGCAGAGTCGTCGCCACGGCGGACAGCATGCTGAGGGCCCAGAGGCGAAGGCACGGACGTTGGGATCGGGGCTCGGGGTGCCGGTCTGGGTCGAGCTAGTCAGGCAGAGAGCTGAGCGAGAGCGGGGAGAACGAGGTTATCCGTAAAGGGACTATTCACGAGAGACGACTGCGGGAGGGGTCTCTCTTTTGTGACTTGTGCGAGCCAGGCAAGGCGGGTTTATGTTGGAGTTGTGACTGTGTTTGTGTGTGGGGGTGCGTATCGTTGGCACTCTGTGTTGTGCGATTCGTACTCCGTACACAGGTACTACGTATTATTATGGCCGTTGAGTTGGCGGCCGGTGACGCGATTGGGCTCTTGGAGGCCACCTGCAGCGAGGAGGGGACTGTATTTCCCAAGGTGTGATTGTTATCGCGATGGACTGGACGCCCAGGCGCGACTTGGACCAGTTCTTTGAGCTTGCTGACGGGGGCGACAAGGGTGTCTGTGGTATCTTGGTGCCTCTTTACTGGAGAAGACAGGCCCTGGTCGCGGTGAACTGTCTGCAGCAGCGCAAGATGACAGGGGACAACCCAGACCAGCGGGGGTCGACTGCAGTTTCTTTTGAGAGCATGTGGTCCGAGCCGAGATTGGGCTCATATAAAAAATTGGAAGAAAAAAAAATCGTCAAGAGGATGACGATGGAGGGTTGGGTTCGTAGGTGTGTCGTAGGAAGTAGGTAGATATTAGGACGAGGAAAGGTATCTATTCGCAAGTCTGGTTCGATTAAAGACGTGCCTGACGAATGCTGAGTAGGGACCGAAGAAGGGAGAGACAAGATGACGGCGTAGGGATGGTCATTTCAGGTCGGATGGGAGTTGGGACGAATACACAGTAGGGGGGATGAGAGAAGGTCAAGGATGCGGTACCGTAGGACGTAGTAGATGGGGAAAAAGAGGTGGTGGGAGAACCAACCAAAGAAAGAGAATGGGAAAGGTGAGGTACCTGAATCAGAGACAGTTTCTTTGCGAGATCGTATGCAATCTGAAGGTGCTTTCATGTATCTTCCCTTTGGCCAAAAAAAGACGGACAGGAAACGTTCGCGTCGAGCCAAAAACCACAGGTGCAACCATTGCAGGTCGCACTTCTTGCCGTGCTTGCCCAATTTGGCCCAATCTGCGGTAGCGCATCCTCAGTGCTCCACTCGATACCCGCCAATCCAGGAACACTTCACAAAAGGTACTAAGGTACGGAGTACATAGACTAACTATTGCCCCAGTCGCACGAGGTACCTACCTTACCCAGGCACGTGCCACCTAAGGTACTCTCGGTACGTATCCTCTTTCTCGAGACTTTCCCTCCCTTCCCTCCAATTACCTGGTACCTTACGGTCCTTACCTCACCTTGCCTTGCCTTATTTTGGCACCTTACCTAGGTGAGGGGAGTGTGGGGAGATGTCGAGTTCAGCCGTCACAGAGACATTCACTCGCAGCGAATGAAACATGTCTGGCCCTGCCACGATGACGACAGACCTCGCCCTCTGCTTGCAAGCAAGCTGGGAATTACAAGCACTGCAGGTGGTGAATTGGCCAGTCATCTCAGGTCCTGTGACCAGAGAAACCGGCCGCATCTTGACGGCCAGCGCATCAACACACCACCAGCCACCACAATATCTTTCTTACCATCTTTCAAAACGACTCGAGCTGGTAATCACTCGAATACTTGGTAGGCTAGCTAGCATGTGGATGGCACGTTTACAGGCCGGCACGATCTGGAAAGGGCTGTCCTTGTGTGGCGCCGTACAAAAGTTGATCGGCATTTGCCCAAATCGGGATGCCCCCGGCGAACAACCTTCATTCCTGAGTCACGGCGTGTAAACGGACGCGAGACCGCGTTTTTCCACAACAAGCAAACATGGCAATTTCAAACCTTTTTTTTCGAGTTTGACCTTTCGCTGCCAACTGCAGCAAAATGTTCCTTCAACACCCACCTCAAGGTAGATTTACTTCGAATACTAGGCAGGCCCATAACTGGTCTATCAACTGGGATAGCTATAATATGCACACAAAAGTGAGATAATAACTCGGATCTAAGGTACTCTGTGGTAAACCCACAAATGAGTCTATAACAGAACACACATAAGTATCGTGCTATTGAATTCGACATTACGAGAATGATAAGATGACCATGGGTAAAATGCATCGTGATCCATTGTCTAACCGTCGCTAGGTAGGTAGGTAAGTACTTTCGGCGTTGGTTCCCAGACTGGCGGTTCGCCTGCCTGTCCCGGGTACCTGCACTGGAACTTGAGGTACCTCCACTGTAAGGTGCCTTACCTCCACTGTAGCCTGCGACGTGCCTGCCTGAGGTGGTCCGGCAGCGTACCTGGCGCCGCTGCGGGTCCCCCACCGGCCCGGCATACCGACCCCACCCGCACACCACTTTCGGCTCACCACAGACGTCAATTCAGGAACGCCGAGTCCCAAAAACCACCGTTGCCTCAACCTCCCGTCAACCGCACCGCACCGCACCGCACCGCATCCCCGTCCGAGGTCACACCCCGCTATACTCACGGGGACAACCTTTCGGAACGGCCATTCTCTACCTCAACCCACTCAACCACCGGATGACGGAACAATGGCAACTTCTAAAGAACCTGCGTCCGTGTCCACCCCGGTACATACCAACACGGACGCCAGCAAAACTGTCGTCCGCGGCGCCTCCCTTCTCATCATCCTCCAAATCGGCTCCCGCGCAGTCACCTTTATTGCAAACCAGCTTCTTCTCCGCTTCCTGACGGCCCGCCTTCTCGGCGTCTCGACACAACTAGAAGTCTACTACCTTTCGGTGCTCTTCTTCGCCCGAGAATCCCTTCGCGTTGCCGTCCAGCGTCAGGAAACCCAAGGCAATGCCGCACTTCATTCTTCCAACAGCAAAAAGGATGACGACCCAAAAGCTCGCGTAGGTCGAGAAAGCCAGGCCGTCATCAACTTGGGCTACCTCGCCGTCCTTCTAGGCTTTTTTGTCACCATTGGGCTCGGATGGTTGTACCTCTCCTCCGTCGACTCGTCCACCGCCCAGACGCCAAACTTCCTCCTCGCCCTCCGCCTCTACGCCCTGGCCGCTATCCTTGAACTCCTCTCGGAACCCTGCTTCGTTCTTATGCAGACCCGCCTACGCTTCGGCACCCGCGCTACCGCCGAGTCCATCGCGACCTTCCTCCGGTGCACCGTTACCTTTGCCACCGCCTTTTGGGCCTCCAGAGCTGGCGTAGAGTTCGGCGTGCTCCCCTTCGCCGTCGGTCAGCTCTTCTACGGCGCAACTCTGCTGGTAGTCTATCTCGCTTCCGCATCCCGCCTCGCTCGTGCCGATGGCTTCTCTCTCCTCCCAAAGAGCCTCGCTTCCACATCGAGTGGCGGAGGAGAGGACTACCTCGCCTCCTACTTTTACCGTCCCACCGTCAGTCTAGCCTCCAGCATGACAGCACAGAGCCTCGTCAAGCACGTCCTCACGCAAGGCGACACCTTTCTCGTCTCGGTCCTGTCCACACCCAAATCGCAGGGCGTCTACGCGCTTGCCAGCAACTACGGAGGCCTCCTGGCCCGTCTCGTCCTCCAGCCCATCGAGGAGAGCAGCCGCAGCTACTTCAGCCGTTTGCTCTCTTCCCGTGACACAAAGAGCACATCGTCACCGTCCACCAAGGACACAGCAGCGACAACCACGGCAAGCCAGCATCTTCACACCCTCCTCAAATTCTACATCCTCCTCTCCTCCATCATCGTGAGCATCGGCCCCGTCGCCGCGCCCCCGCTCCTATCCCTCGTTGCAGGCCAACGCTGGGCCTCCGAGGGCGCAGGCGACGTCCTGGCCGTCTACTGCTACTACCTGCCCCTCCTCGCACTCAACGGCGTATCCGAGTCCTTTGTCGCCTCCGTCGCCTCCGAGGCCCAGGTCCACCGCCAGTCCGCCTGGATGGGCGCCTTCTCCGTCGCCTTTGGCTCGGCCGCCTTCTTCTTCATGCGCGTCATGGACCTCGGCGCCCAGGGCCTCGTCTACGCAAACTGCATCAACATGCTGTGCCGCATCGTGTGGAGCCTCGCCTTCACCAAATCGTACTTTGCAGGGTTGGAAACGCCGTTTGAACTCTTTTCGCTGCGGCCTAACGCCGTCACCTCTATCGTCTGTCTATCGGCGCCGCACCTCATCAGGAGGGTCGCCGGTCTTGCCTCGGCGGGCGTATCTACTTCCCCGTTCAAGGACATCATCGCCATAGGTCTAGCCGCCGTTCCCGTCGTACTTTTGATGTAAGCTTTTCCCCGCCCCATGTGATTCGCGCCGCTGTGGCCTTTTGTGTGTGCTTTTCCCCATCTAACATGACCTCAGACTCTTTGCCGAACGCAGGTTCCTCCTGCAATGTTACAACTCGGCACGCAAGCCGAAAGCAGCGTAGACGTAATTACCTCGGGGCGTAAACAGAACATGTAGAAATCCTCCCGAGAAGCCAAAAAAAAGATCAAAAAATAGTAACAAATCAGTCAAACGTAATCTTGGTCGCCTTCTTCGTCATGTCGACGTCCTTGAAAAAGGCGCCGTAGGTGCTGTGAGCCTTCTTCTTGACGGTCGTACCGAACTTGAAGAGATCATCGGGGACCTCCTGCTTGGCACCCTTGAGGATGTTGATCAAACTAGTCAACTTTGTTAGCAACCATGTTCAAAGTAAGGTTTTCAGGACGCAGGGTGACTCACGATCCAGAGTGCGCCTTGTCGTGCTCGGTAAACAGGGTAATCGCCTCGCCAGTCTTGCCAGCACGGCCAGTACGTCCAATTCTGTGAACGTAATCCTCAATCGTCAAGGGGAACTGCAAAAGGTTAGATCGAGTGCTCGATAACGACATCCAAGATCACGAAAGACTCACAGTCACGTTGACAACCAGCTTGACCTCAGGAATATCCAAACCACGGGCAGCAACATCAGTGGCGACCAGCACGGGCGTGGTACCAGCCTTGAAAGCCTCCAAACTCCTCGTGCGCTGCTCCTGGCGCAGGTCGCCGTGGATACCACCGACGCGGATGCCGCGCTGCTGCAAAAAGGTCTCGACGCGAGTCGCCTCCTTCTTGTACAGGCAGAACACCAGGATACGGTCGTCCTTCTTGGCGCCCGTCTGCCACTGCTTCAGGATCTGCAGCAGCCTCTGCTCCTTGGCGCGCGGGTCGACGACCTCGACGCGCTGCGTGATGCGCGTATTGGCCTGCAACTCGACGGCGCCGTTGGCCGTCTCCTTACCGCTCGAGCCGATGGTGATCTTGACGGGGTCGACCATGAAGGACTCGGCGAGCTTGCGCACCGACGCGGGCCAGGTGGCGGTGAACATGACCGTCTGGCGCTGCTCGCGCGGCGGCATGTCGCCGAGGATGAGCTTGATGTCCTCCTCGAATCCCTTGTCCAGCATGCGGTCGGCCTCGTCGAGGACGGCGAACTTGACCTGGCCGAGGGAGATTGTGCCGTCCTGCATGAAATCCTTGAGGCGGCCGGGGGTGGCGACGATGACGTCGGCGCCGCGGTTGAGGAGGTTGCGCTGCTCGTCCTTGGAGGCGCCTCCGTAGATGCAGATGCTCTTGAGGCCGAGCAGGCTGGAGACGTGCTCCATCTGCTCCTGCGTCTGCATGGCCAGCTCGCGGGTCGGGGAGACGACGACGGCCTTGATGCCGCGCTTCTTGATCTTGGAGATGCCCTCGACGAGCGGCAGGGCAAAGGCCATGGTCTTTCCGGAGCCCGTCTCGGCGACGCCGATGACGTCCCGGCGGGAGAGGGTGTAGGGCCACGAGGCGGACTGGATCGGCGTGGGCTTCTTGTAGGCGGAAAAGGGGTTCTTCTTGACGAGGTCGGTCTTGGGGAGGTGGGCGAACTCGAGGATGGAGCGGAGGGCGGCGTTGCTTGTTATCGGGTCGGTGACGGTGATGTTCTCGGCGGCCAGGAAGGCGTCGAGGTCCGATTGGGGCAGGGCCTTGAGCGCCGCGACCTCCTCGTAGCCACCGAGGATGGAGGCGGTAGGAGTGGAAGCGGTGGCGGCAGCGGCAGCGGCGGGAGCTGCGGATGTGCCGTTGCTCTCGGCCTCCTTGGCCTCCTTCTCTTTCCTCTTCTTCTCCTTCTTCTCCTTCTTGAGTCTCTTCCTCTCGGCCTTGTCCTCCTCAGTCTCCTCCTTGGACTCGGTGGCAGCGGCCGGAGCCTCCTCATCCTCGGCCTCAACAACCTTGGACTTCTTTTCCTTCTTGCGCTCCTTCTTCTCCTTCTTTTCCTTCTTCCTCTGCTTCTTCAGTTCCGCCGCCTCATCGCTGTCGACGTCGCCACCCGCAGCGAGGTCCTTCTTCTGCTTCTTGCTGGTGACACTGGCCTCGGCCTCGGTGTCGGCAAGAGAGCGCTTCGTGGCGGCCATTGTTGCGGTGATTGGAGCGTGGATTGACGCAACAATTGATTTGTAGGGAAATTTGCCGTGAGAAGCAAAGACTCTTGGGGGGGGGGTTTTCGGTCAGGTCGCAAATCTCAAAGGGCGGGAAGAGGAAAAAAAAAAAAAAAGAATTTTGTTTATCGATAGGCTGATAACGGTGCTCCCTCCATGCGATGCGATAAGGCGATAAGACACCGAGTATCAGATAAGCGGAGGACCCTGCGCTAAGCCGATCTCGGCCAATCGTCTCCGCTGGCACACGCCGTTCCAGAATCGGAGGCCCAGGACCCACTCCGGCCCTTCACACTCCAGGATGGCTCCACCGTCCCCCGCCTTACACGTCCGCTTCACTCGACAGCTTCCCCTCACGCCCGCCCACCTCAGATGCCAGCTGTCGTCCTCGCTCAAGTTCGAAAAGCTGTTGCCTGAGCCTCTCGGTCTGCAAAGCATTCCTTCAGACGTTCCTTCACATGCGGCAAAGTGCTAATGCGAACGGCTGCATGATGCCCCTGGCTAAGAAACATACAGTGACGGCTGGGCTCGGTCAGCTTACAGCACTCATTTGGATGAAAAGAGGTACTTTCGTCACTCCCGTCATCTCTCGTCTTGCGTTCAAGTGAACGAGACAAAGTTCAGAGACCCAACGGATAGAGCTATCAAGAAGTCTTGAATGTGGATACAACAGCCTACGGCGTCGGGAGTATCCCAGGAGAAGAAGCAAGCGAGGCCCAACAGCGCAGCTTCAACAGACAGCACAGGGAGACTACATACCAGCGGGCCACGAAAAGGTCGGGTTCCGGCCGCGGGCATCGCGGCCAAACACAACCAACCAATAACCCACGCTTGGCGTCAGCAAGACGGCCCAACCCTGCAAAAACGGGAGCTAAGCATCTTCTGCTTCTTTTCTTCGAGGCATTTCTGCAGCCAGCTAGCGAGAAGAACTACGTACAGATCTGTCGTTCAACCCTGCGGCATCCCGTTCCCCTCCCAATGGGGTTCATCGTGGTGCCACATGGGGGCATGACGGTCGAGTATCAACCACACCGCGGGGGACGGGGGTGACAAGGGGACGAGGGGGGCGGGAGAGCACATCATGCTGCAAGAGGCAGTCCGTCCAGGGTCCAGCCATTGGCGATGTGCTCCGTCACACACAGCTGACTGCGGCGTTGATCCTTGTAACTGCCTTTCTTGATAGCTGCCCACGTTGCATGTCTACGCTGGCAATGCGGTCTTCTTGTAGAGGAGGATGTCGGCAAGATGCAGAGCGGGAGAAGAGAGGCGAGAGAGACGGAAGCATAAAAGGTATGGGAAGATGGCATACCTCGATAGAGGGCACCTCCCTGCTTCTACCCCTTTCTCCCTCAACGCCTTCAACATCAGTCACACATCCAGCCATGGCAAGTTGCCAGGTGCAGGGCCAGCCCGACCTCTACGGCCTGGGCATCCGCGTCGCCTTCTACATCCAATGGTTCGGCGCCATCGTGATAGAGTATCTCGACATGGAAGACCTCCCCGACATACGCCTCATAGGCCTCCTCTTCTCCGCCGCAGCCTTCCTCGGCCTCGTCATACGGCTCTCCGTCGCGGCGGGCAGCGCACAGCCGGCCCACGTCTACATTGTCCTCCTGCTCGCCATGGGTATCCACATCCCCCTCGTCCCGCTCTACCTCTGGAAGGCGGTGACGTGCTTCAATCGGTACTGGGATCCGTTTCGATGGTCCAAGGAGACGCCGAGCCCGGCGTACAAGGGGCTTAATTTCGCATTGTTGCTGGCCATTTCGTCGCTGGGCGTGTGGTATTGGTGTTCTTTTGTGCCGGAGAACGATTGTTCTCGGGAGCAGTATGGGTTCTTCTTCAGTCGCGTGAGCTTGGGGAATAAGGCGTTTGTGGCGTTTAATGCCATCATGTACTTTGTCATTCTGTTTGTGTGTTTGCTCGTCCTCCTGCTCAAGGTCGGTTGGAAAGTGCCCTTTTGGAGGGAGAGGCGGAAGAAGCGGAGAGTCAAGTGAGTGACCACCCTTGCCCAAAGATCAAAGAGGCTTGAGACTGACAATGTTTCGTGCCTAGGAGAATGCACATCATGGCGATCAAGGAGTTGAAGACGCTGAGCAACGTCGCCGTTGCTGCAACACTTACCGCGGCCGTCGAGCTGGCCGTCGTCTGGAATCACATCTCCAACGTGGACAATGTCGCGGACGTGGCGCAGGTCTTGCCTTTGCTGGTCAGCGCCGGCTTCCTGGTCCGGATCCTGTTCCTTCATTTCGCGGGCGTACGTGACGGGTCGGATTCGTCAGAAGAGGATAGTGATGGGGGATCGCACAGTTACATGACGGAGTCTCAGGGCGGGTTGCCGCCGGCACCGCCGCCTGTCCATCCGCGGTGACGGCGCAGTGGCTGTGATTGTTAGATATGCTGGGTGATGAGTTGGACGGGAGGTGTGCATTATCGTTTCTATATACCAAGCACGCAAGGCTTATGTTATCACTTTGGTTAAGGATACGAGGTTTCTGAGGCTTCTTTCCAGAAACTTTCACAGATTCTCGAAATGATACTGTTGATATGAAGTACAGATGATAAAATAGGTTAAGGTCCAAGAAGCTACAGTTTATGATCATCCATTCGAGATCATGTCATCCCGTTACTCCTTACGCTTCACGACGTTTCCACAATCTTAGAATACAACTCAGAGTAACAGCCAGCTCAACCGTTGTACACTCAACTCCCAACCTTGCTCACCCACTCAGGAACATTCGTAACCCTCCCCATCTCTTCCACAGTCTCATCCCACAACATCTTCTGCAGTCTCCAATTCTCATCTGAAACAGCAAAACCAACTGGTCTACACATCACTGTCAGTCAAACCACAGCAAATCACAAAGAAAGGAAACTCACTCCCAAATCTCCTTATCCCCCAACGTCTTCCCATGCGTCTCCCCGCCCGCGACAGCAACAGCATGGAGCCCAATCCACCCAGCCACCTCCGGCCTCCTCGCCCTCACAGCCTTCACGGCGTCAGCGATGAGGCGGAGTGGCTGCGGGAGAACATTGCTCATATTCGTATCCACCATCCCGGGACAAAAGGCGTTGACGATGACCGGCTGCTGGTGCCGTTCTCCTTCTTCGGTACCAGTTGCAGCACCGGCACCATAATGTCTCGCCAACTCCCGCAGAAACAGGAACCCGAGCAGCTTACTATCCGCATACCGCGCCATACCATTGAAATTCGCCTCATCGTCAAGATGCTCGAGAACAGATCCCCCCTCTCGAACCGTCGCCTTCCCCGCCAGACTCGTCTTCTCAACCATCCGGCTCCCCGTCCACGTAATCCTCCCAGCCCTACCCGTCTCGCGCGCCGTAGCCTCCAACATGGGGAGTAACTCGAGCGTAAGCAGCACGTTCGAGAGATAATTCACCTGTACGGTCGCTTCGTGGCCCGTAGGTGCCACGCGGCGTCGTAAGCCCGGCACGCCGGCGTTGAGCATGGCGATGTGGAGGTGCGTGTACTTCGCCTTGAATGCTTCCGTGAAAGCCTTGACGCTGGCGTAGTCTTCTGCGTCTAGCTTCATCACCTTCACGACGGGGGTCTGGTGGCGAGAGAGGACGGTTGGGTCGGAGAGGAGTGTCTGTCGTACTGCTTCGCCCTTGGGCACGTCGCGGACGGCGAGGATGACGAGGGATGCGCCGAGGGAGAGGAGTTGGCGGGTTAGTGCGAGGCCGATGCCTGATGTTGCGCCTGTTACTATCGCCGTCTGGCCGTGGAGGTTCAGGTCGTCGGGGAGGGGCGTGACTGGAGGCTGGAATAGTGGCATGTTGAATCGAGACTAGAATGATAATGTTTGAATTGCTTCCAAGTGATTTTCTTGTCTACTAGTGTTGCTCCCCGTAAACGATCCACGACGCTCATGTCATTTATGAAGCCATCGCCAATATGCCATCTCCACGGTTTGATCTCAACTCCGCCAAGGACTCAGACACTCTCAGCACTCCAAAGTCCGCCGTCATTTGCTCATTCCCTAATCACCATGACTTGCAGAGGATTCCGTCGTGGAGGAGGATTTGGCGGACTTGGGATTCGTCGCACTTGGCTTGCGGCGCAATTAGTCATCCTTGAAGTCGCCGACTTGCTCAATCACCAATACAATTGCTCGTTGACAGCCGGGGGAGCGGAGGCGGTGCATTGCATGAGCTGCCGGAGCCTAGACTTCCAGAATCCTGTCGTCAATCGATATCACGACGAGAAGTCTCCGAGGACATGCCGAAGCCCGATGGGTCGGGTCTAAAGCCGGTCTTCGGCTCACATACCGTCAGCCGGTCCCAGGGGTCAAGTGACTCAGCATTTCCCACTCGCCACGAGAGTGGGAGAATCAAGACCAAGACCTGCTCTCACTGATGTGCCCTCTTATGCGAATGAGGACGATGGGGCTGCGCATGTTATCTGTTGGCCACCGATGTTGTCCGCAAAATAACAGCTGGGTTGGATCCTTGCGGATGCAGTCCCGAGATCAGCACCTAGCCCCGCTCCCTCATTCTGAGAGCTGCACAATTTGAACAATCAATCACGCCGTCGGCGCTCACGATGCCCCGTGTAGAAAGCGAACATAACGGTTTAAATTGAAGCATTGAGTGGTGCGTAAGTGGCAGGACAATGTCGTTCTCTGGCATTTTCGTCTCTGTCGGGTCGCTGATAAGCTGGCCACTAACTAAATGGTATTCTCAACACTGACGTACAATCAACCCTGCCCTTGAAGCCTTTTGATAGACATGAAAAAGGCCTGTTTCGCGGCAGCGTCGATGCTTCGTGAAGCGACTGCCGTCGCTGTAGAGGAGCTCTCATCCCATACAAGCCCTGCGAAATAAAAGACAGCCATAATTTCCTTCCCAAACTCCGGATTTTGTTGAAAAAAGTCGACGAACAAGACGGCGATAAATCTCGTTTTGTTGGCAAAGTCTGCCCAGCCATGCCCTGCCCTCTAGGCCTCCTCACCCCGGGGACGTCTCCTCTTCACTCCCCTAAGCCAAACTCCAATGACGTGTAACGAAAGAAAGGTATCATTGCGATGTGTTGTTTATGCAGATGCGGAGGCGGCAGACTCGGCCTTGGCCTCGGTGCCGGCCAGGTTGGTGGGCTTCGCGTTGGGATTCTTGGTGTAGTAGTCGGAAATGGCGGCCTTGATGGCGTCCTCGGCAAGCATGCTGCAGTGGAGCTACGTTGCGTTAGTCACGGCGACAGAAGAAGAGAAGACGCTTTCTTGGCCACATACCTTGACGGGGGGAAGCTTGAGCTCCTGGGCAATCTCGGTGTTCTTGACGCGGCCGGCCTGCTCCAAGCTGTACGATAGGTTAGCATCGGTGCGAATGATACATCTGGGATGAGGTCACTCACGTCATGCCCCGGACAAGCTCGGTAAGGTAGCTGGAGGAAGCGATGGCGGAACCGCAGCCGAAGGTCTTGAACTTGACGTCGGAGATGACGTTGGTCTTGGGGTCGACACGGATGTTGAGCCTGTTGAATATGTCAGCGATTGTAACATGATGGCAGAAAAGACATGATTATCGATATCGCAAAAAAGCCGGATGAAGTGCGTTGAGTCGAAGAGCGTGGAAAGTGAGGCAGCGCATCGAGTCTGAGACCCAAGTGCACGCCGCTGCCACAATCCAGGCGTCCCAAGCAATGATATTGTGATACCGAGAAGATGAATCGTAAGATGGCTTACTTCATGACATCGCCGCAAGCGGGAGCACCGACGAGACCCTGACCGACGTCCTGGTCACCCTTGGGCATTGAGCCGACGTTACGGGGGCGCGAGTAGCTATACACGTCAAAGTTAGCCCTCTATGTCTTTGAAATGGGATATCCGGGGTGGCATACTGGTCAAGGACCTTCTCGTGGTATCCCCTCGTGGCGCCGACAGTAGCAGCAGGTGCAAGCTGACGGGCGGCAAGGGTAGAAGGGCGGACAGAGGTCGCAAGGACCCTGCGAGAGGCGACGCGGAGAGATCTGGAGAACATTTTGGAGGAGTTTCGGACTAGTGGGTTTTCAAAGAGGTGCAGGTCGATGAATATGGAGGTTGAGCAGATTAAATCGATACGAGCGTAGTCGCAAGAGTCGATTTAGGGTATTGCTGATGAGTCGAGATGGCGATGGCGACAAAAGGTGGTCGATATAGCAAATTGCGTTTGGCAAAGAATCGAGGTGTTGAGGGGGGCAGACTTGGAGGGAGGCGAGAAGTTCTCTGAGAGGATAAATGGAAAATGGAAATTATTACGGAGTAGCAGAGAAGGCCTGCGGGACTTGTGACGGAGAACGATGGCGATCTCGGGGGTAGCAGAAGCCGACGGGCCAATGGGAGCGTTCAATGACCATGCATTAAGTCATGGACAGTGGTCGGCCACTGGTCCCTAGGCCTATGCTATCTTGGGCTCTAGCACGCAGTCACAGCAGTCGCAGCAGTCACAGTAGGTAGTGGACGGGGATGACGGCTTCAGGATGGATGGCTCGGCGCCTCGGAGAAGACATTTTTTCATCCGCCTCCACAGCGCCGAGGGTCCCCCAGCCTTTACACTAATCCGCTTCAAGGTTCCCTTCCTTCTTTAGTGTGTCTCTTTTTCAGCGTGTCAGAATGTCAGAGCTGCAGACCTGCCCGTTATCTGATCCACTCCCTGGAGCAAAGGGAACATCTGATTGGCCGGGATGATGCCGTTGTTTCCTCGGCACAGCAAGAAGGCACCGCACCCAGGACTTTGGTGACTTTGGTCCCGTCCTCTTGCCGTCCACGTCGTTGACCTTGCCTTATCGGATCCACAGTACGAAGTACTTAAGTAAGCTATCAGATGCAGGTGACCAGCTGGCAAAGGGAGAATCCATCACAACCCAACAGCTCTGGGTGCTCCAAGTGGGTATGACTGGGGGATTTTTTTGACGGGGCTTGACGGGGCGGCAACAATTTGTCATGGTTCTTCGCCGTTCTCGCCAGCGAAAGAGATTCAATCTGATTAGATACGCAACCCACCTCCGTGCTCGCTGGAACGTGCTCCGCCCAAGGCACCTCAGGTACGTACTCCGTAGGTTTGACGCATTTGTACATGTCCGCTTCCAATGGAAGCCTAAGTCCGGGGAAGCCGCTTAGCTGCAATCCACCATCTTGAATAGCTCCGATATGTATCTAGGATGACCTCTTGCCACGGACATGCATACAAGCCTAAAAATGCATTTAATCCATCTACACTTTTCTCAAGCTTCCCCACTCCACTACGTAATCCTCAAAATCTGAGGTGCACGCCACACTGTGCCCCCCTCCAAAGCTGAGCTAATGCCACCTACCACTGTCACCTCAGGGAAGCTGCCAAAGTACGTTCAGGCACCAGGTCCCTGTAACTCCAACGCGGGGCACTCAGTCCAACACCACCACCACTGCCACCGTCCTCGCCTGCATCAGCTTGAGCACGAGCACATCTCAGCCTTTCACCTCGT